GACCAGGTCCGCCTGCACCGCCTCGCCGCTCTCGAGCGTCACCTCGCCCGTCTGGCAGTCGACGCTCCGGACGCGGCTGGCGGTGCGGATCTCTGCGCCGCCGTCGACGGCGGCCTGCTTGAGCGCCGAGTGCAGGTCGACGCGGTGGAAGCACACGCGATCCTCGCCGTACTGGTCCGTGGCCAGCGGGATCTTCATGTGCAGCTTGTCGTCGGTGCCGTAGAGGAGGAAGGCCTTGTCCGGCACGCCGCGGCCGATCGAGTCCGGCCCGAAGAGGTAGCTGTCCAGGCCCAGGAAGCGCTTGGCAATCTTGACGGCGTTTGGCTGCAGCGAAATGTTGGCGCCCACCTCGCGGTTGAGGCGCGAGGCCTCGAGGAGCGTGATGCGCCTGCCGGGAGCCTTGAGCGCAACGGCCTGCAGAGAGGGAAGCACCACGAGGGCCAAGAGGAGGCCAACGCGCGAGGTCAGCGCGCGGTCGATCGCGAACCCAGACGCTGCTCACGCAAGTCGAGACAGGTCCGACTCACCGCTGCGAGGCCGCCGATGCCTGCGCCGACAATGACGATGTGGAAGGACTTTTGCTGCGAGGTAGCCATTGGTGCGGGCTTGGACGGTGATGCTAGAGGGGGGTTGGTTCCTTGTTCCGTTTCGAGGGGGCTGCGGCGATGATGATGGTGGCGAGAAGATGTGGTCGGGAGGATAGACAATGGCAGCGAAGGAAGGTCAAGTCACAGCTCCCTCGTCGAGGAGGGGGCTACGAGAATCTTTCTATCGAGGGGGCGGCTGAGCGGGGGGCGCGGGGGTGTGAGCAAGGGTCGGCACCGTCAGAGGGGCGAGGCGGGGTACCCCACTGCGGCCGCGGAGAAGAGAGCTCTGACCGTCGGCGACGACGCCGAGTCGCTGTGCTGACACTACTGCCAGACGAGAGGGGACCGAGGCCAAGGGCGAAGAAACGACCCAACGAGCAAAAAGGGGCGGCGCGAGAGGGCGGCGGCGTGCGTCGGCTGCAGAGGCAGGCAAGCAAAGCAAGCCTGGCAGAGGCAGAGCCATGCTGTGGCAGTCGGCACAGGCAGGGTCCAATCAGGTCGGGCCGGGTCGTCGGAGGGTCGGGGCCATGAACGAGGGCAAAGTTGGCCGGTCACGGCACGGGCTGACATCGTCAAAGAGGCGCGGCGACGCTGCCTCTGCGTCCGGCAGATGAGCCGGCCAAGCGAGCCAGCCTGTGCCTGAGTTGGGCTGGTGAGTCGTTGGCCCGTGGGGCTCCAAGATGGGAATCTGGGGGTCGGGAGCGGGAGCGGAGACCAGCAAGCAGGGGTTCATGCCACGAGGTACCGCTACCGCTACGAGAGCACTGACGAGGTGGCGGCGCGAGACGGGGCTCGGTTCGGCTCGGTTCGGTCGGTCAGTCGAGGAGACGGACAGGAGGAGGTACTCTGGCTGCTGCGGCGAGTGATCCGTTAGACGGGGGTCTGTATGCGGGCAGCACCATGCGAGCTCGCCGTGGGCGAACCTGGCATCGGCACCGGCATCATATGGTGCGCTCGTGGAATCGAGGCGACCTGTCGATGCCAGGATCTGGGTCAAGGAGTCGCCAGGCCTTGCAATGGTGGTGGCCGTCGTGTGAGGGGAAAGAAGAGGCCCGCGTGGCGCGCGCCCCCCGTCGTTTAGCAAGGCGTCCCGTCGGCTCGGCTCGGTTCGGTTCGTTTGGCGGCGAGCGTCTGCCGTGGGCCACGGTACGGCACCATCGGTCGGTCTTTTGTCCTTCGAGCCCTCGCCTCACTGCCCCGGCTGGCCGCCTGTCGGTCTGTTGGCCTTGGCCGTTGCGGTTTCCCGCAGCGAACGGGCGGACAGGCGGAGCAGAGACCTCGGCGCTCACAGGCCCCGACCAACCACGAGTGCGGGGAAGGGACGAGGTGGCGAGCCAGGGCCAGCCAGGCGAGGCGCCCCTCTCTCCTCCTCTCCGTCTGACTGAGTGCCATCGGTGGCCACTGGAAGGTATATCAACGCTCGACTCCGGGTGCCACTCCAATTCGCTTATCTTCCCTCCGCAATCACGCAAAGCTCAACAGCCTCCTTCTTCCATCTCACGAGCGCGACACTTACTTCCTTCCGACACACGACAGCCCGAGCAAACAGCCAACCTTTTGCCCCCTCACCCGCTCCACGATGCTGTCCGTCCAGAACCCCGCCACGCCTCCCCACCTCAAGGCCGAGTCGGCGCTCAACGCCTCGGCCTCGGCTTCGGCCTCGACCTCTACCTCGACTCCCGTCGAGCTCGAGCAGTGGCACCAGGACCTGCTGCGCGATGGATACGCCGTCGTCAAGGGCGCCATCCCCAAGGAGCGGGCGCTCGAGTACGCGTCGCGCATGCACGGCTGGCTCGAGGGCTTCAACCTGGGCTACGACCGCAACGACGCTTCGACGATCCACAAGGACAAGCTGCCGCTCATCTCGGAAAAGGGCATGTGCATGCACTACGGCGTCGCCCACGAGGACTGGGTGTGGAAGATTCGCTCCGAGCCGGGCGTCGTCGGTGCGTTTGAGACGTTCCTCGACGACAAGGACCTCATTGTCAGCTTTGACGCCGTCAACTTTGGATTCCCGAACCGCAAGGACCTGCCGCCCAACAAGCCGTGGCCCCACCAGGACCAGGACCCGACTAAGCAAGGGTTCCGCTGCCTCCAGGGCCTGGTCAACCTGCTGCCCAACGGTCCCAAGGACGGCGGCCTGATCGTGTGCAAGGGTTCGCACAACCTTTCCACGCAGTTCCACGACGAGATGGCGTGGGAGGAAAAGATTCCGGCGTGGACCAACGAGTGGTACGGCTTCACGGAAAAGGGCATGGCGTGGCTCGAGGAGCACGGGTGCGAGTGGATCAAGGTGTGCGCCGAGCCGGGCGACCTGCTGCTGTGGGACAGCCGCACGGCGCACTACAACCTGAGCAGCGAGACCGACCAGCCGCGCTTCTGCGTCTACACGTGCTACATGCCCGTCAAGGATGCCAGCCAGGCCGACCTGATGCGCAAGCGCGACGCATTCGAGCGCCGGGTGGGGACGACGCACTGGCCCAACGCGCGCCACACGGGCTCCAACGTGGCCAAGCGCGATGGGCAAGATGACCCGCACAACCGCGACCGCCCCGTCGAGGAGCCGCAGCTGGATGAGCGCGCATTCAAGCTGACGGGCATCCCCTACATCAAGGCCGACGAGGAGCAGCAGCAGCAGCAGCAGCAGCAGCAGCAGCAGCAGCAGTAGTAGCAGCGTGTTGGCCGCGTCTCCCTCTGTCGGTCGCTGCCGCTGGGTGCCTGGCCCGCTCTGTATCCATCTTGTCCCTGTCCCCGATGTTACGATTTCCCGACCCGACTCGACTGTCTTAGCATTCCGCGATCCGCCTCGCCTCGCCTCGCCTCGTCTCTAGCATTACCACCAAGCCCCAATGAGGTCGCTCTCTCTCTCTCTCGGCCTTTGAAGACGCAATCTGACGACGTGTTGTCAATGAAAGAGAATCGAGATGACTGTGCAAGTGGCTGTCGGTGTGCTCAGATGGCTGGTGTCGCGGCACAGAGGGGTCGAGGACGAGGGGTGAGTGGTGAGTGGTGGTGGTGCGTGTGGTGTGCCATGCCATGGCGGCGCGTGCTGTCTGTCGTCGACAAAGGCGAGCGGGGGGTGCGGCGAGGTGGTGGCGGTCGCGAAATGAAATGGCCATGGCGGACCGCCTGATGATGTCGTGTGGGGAGCCGGTGCGGGGAAGAGGGCGAGAGGGCGAGAGGGCGAGAGGGGGCCTGGATTTTTGCGCTCAATTTTGGGTGCCCGGTTTCTGGGCGGCTTCGGATGCAATGGGGGAGAGGGGCAGCAGCAACAGCGGGGCGGCCAAGCGGGCGGGGGCCACCAGAGTGAGGGACAGATCGAGACAGATAGAGGCAGAGAGACAAACGCGGGCCGACAAAGTCCCAAAGAGGTCGGCTGTCGTCGGGGAAGGCACAGGGCTGCCTCCACTCTGACTCTGTTGGACCACCACCACCACCACCACCACCCCCTGCGCACCGCTCCTCGTCAATCCTCATCATCCCCCGGTCGGCGCCCCAAGGCGACGCCCCGGTCGTAATGCCGCCTGCCCATACCCAACACCACCAACGCAGACGCTGCAACCTCCCTCGGCCGCACATGGCCTAGCTCGGTGCTGGCTGCAATCGCTGCACCTTGCCACCCGCACCCATCAATTTGGGCTGGCCCTCGTCTCCCACCCTCCTCTCTCTGCCTCGGCCTCCAGACGTCGCAATGGACCACCACAGCCTCGCCAATCACCGCCCGCACAACGCGCACCCCACCCCCGCATCCGGCTCCTCGTCTTCCGCATCCACCACCGCTGCCGACGCCGACGCACCACCCAACCGCAAGCGCAAGCGCCTCTCGCACGCCTGCCAGGCCTGCCGCGCCCGCAAGGTGCGCTGCGACGAGTCCCTCCCCGCCTGCCGCAACTGCGTACGCGCACAGATCCAATGCATCACCACAGACCCGCGCAGGCCCCACCTCGCCTCCGTCAGCCGCACACGCGCACGCTCACGCTCCCCGCACCACGCCCACGCCAGTCCAGCCTCTCAGCCGTCATCGTCGTCGTCGTCGTCTCAGCGCCAGCAGCAGCAGCAGCAGCAGCAGCAGCAGCCCAACGCCAACCGCCACCATCTTCCGCGCCCTCCCTTCGACAACCACCGCCGCACCTCGTCACACGCCGCCGCTGCTGCTGCTGCACAGTATCCACCACCACTCCTGCCACCACCACCTCTGCCACCACCCTCTCTGCCTTCGCGTCCACACCCTTCCCACCCCGACCACGACCCCACTCGCCCACTGCAGAGGCACTTTTCCACCAACACCCAGCTCTCGGCCAGCGCAGCCTCACCCGCCAGCACCCATCACACCTCGCCCCACTCGGCCGCTCCGGACCCAAACGACCTCGTCGGAAACGCCCTCGGCGGCGCCTCCACCAAGCTCATCTCCGACTCGCTCGCACAGGACCGCTTCAAGTACCTCGGCCCATCCAACCTCCAGGTCTTTTCCCGCTGGATCGACCTCCTCCTCGTCCGGCTCAACGGATCCACCGCACGCCAACCAAACGCCCTCTTCCAGCACTTTGAGCACGGTCGCATCCACTCCGAAGAGCACCACCCCCCCTCGCCCCTCATCGCCCCGCTCCCCGCGCTCTCGCCCCTTCGCACCTTTGACGACTGCCTCGACGACTTCCTCGACGGGCCAAACGCTCTCTTCCCCATCCTCGAGCCCGTCTCGTTCCGCCAAGAGGCCCACCGCGCCATCCGCCACCTCCACCTCGACCGCGCCGCACCGCGGATCGACCCCATCTCGCCCTACCAGATACCCCTGCTCGCCAGCATCTACCTCGTCACCGCTCTCGCCCTCCTCGAGCTGCCCCAGCCAAACGACGCCGAACGCTACCTCGCGGCCGCCTACTCGCTCTACGGCCACATTGTCGGCGTGCCTTACCTCTCATCGGTGCAGGCCATGCTCCTCCTCCACCTCACCCTCCGCGCCAAGAACAAGGACGGCGCCGCCTGGCAGGCCCTCGGTCAGGCCATCCGCATCGCCTACTCGATCGGCCTTCATCGCGCCTTTCACCATCATCACCTTCACCCGCCCGCCGCCGCACCACCACCGCCGCACGCCCCTCACCAGGTCGCTCCGGCAGCCTCAGCCTCGTCGTCGTCGTCGTCGTCGTCGTCGTCGTCCGGACAGCGTCGCCGCCCCTCGTCGCAGCCGCTCCAACCGGACCACGCCACGGCCGCCGTGCTCGACGCCTTCAAGGCGAGGCTGTGGTGGTGCTGCTATGCGCTCGACAAGGTCTCGACGCTCGACTCGGGTCGGCCGACGATGATCCACGACGGCGACGTCGGCCTGCCGCTGCCGCAGTTCAGAGGCCCGCCACCCGAAGGGGGCGGCAGGGGCGGCGCCGACGGCGGCGGCGGCGGCAGCAGCAGCAATTACAACAATAGCAACAGCCACACCAGCAGCGACGCTAGGGGCCGTGACGGCAGCAAGGCTGCTCGAAGATCCGCCGTGCGCGACCAGGACGCCAACTACTTTGCTTCTCTTGTGGCCCTCTGCCGCCTGCAGGGCGAGATCCACGACGCACTCTACACGTCGCACCTCGGCCCCCACTTTGGCGAGGCGGACCTGTTTGCCAACCTGGCCCGGCTCGACCAGCAGCTCGTCGACTGGCACCAGGACCTCGTCCACGCGATGGGGCTGCCCACCGGTGGCGGCGACGAGGGCGTGCTGGGCGCCTCGACGCGCAGGGCCGACCTCCAGGTGCTCTTCCTCCTGACCTTGTATCATTTTACGTGAGTCGCCGCGGAGCCCCCTCTGTTGCTGCACGAGTTCGCCACCGGTCAATCGACCGCCTGCGCTGCTGCTGCCGCCGCCTCCTCCTTGCTGCACATCGCTGACATGGCCCACCCTCCCCGCGAACCCCCCTTTCTCGCCGCCGCGCCGCAGGCTGATTAGCATGCATCGGGCCTCGGTCATGCTCGATACGGCCCTGTACCGCCACCACGTCACGCTGCACCTGCCGCCTCCCTCCCATGGGCGGCTGGTGGCTGCCGAGGCCATCTGCAAGTCGTCTGCGCGCTCGATTATCCGGCTGCTGAGCCAGTACCGCTCCCTCTACCGGTCGCGGAGCGCGCGGCAGGTGAGCGGCACGGTGCCGCTGGCGGCCGTTTACGTGCTGGCCATCTGCGTGGTCAAGCACCCGCACGACTATACCGTGGTGTCGGACCTGGGCCTGATCCAGAGCATCGGCCGCACCGTCGAGGCCGACTACACCAACGACGGCATGCCCGCCGGCTTTACGGGCATCGTGGGTGCCCTCACCCGCCTGGCGGAGCGGTGCATTGGCATGGTGGGGAGCCGCGAGGGCAGCCCTGCGCCCGGGGCTTACTCGCACCCGAACGACTTTTCCGGCGATGTCGGACGCTCAACTGCGACGGCGGCAGCGACTGCGGCGACGAGGGATCACTCTGCGTCGTCGTCATGCGGGGCGGCTGCTGTGCATCCGATGGGCGGCGGTGTCGATGGCCATGCTCCGTTACCACACGATGGACCACCATCAGCAGCAGCAGCAGCAGCACCACCACCACCGCCACCAATGCCGCCGGCGCCGCCGCTCGCTGCTGCTGGACATGCGGGCAGCGGCGATGCGGGCGAGGGCATGATGGAAGGCGATCTTGCGACCTCGCTGCCACAGGTCAACCTGGAACCCTTCTGGCGCTCGCTGGGGTTCGGGCAGGTGTCGCAGCCGCTCCAGTACCCGCCAGCGTACGAGGGCACACCATTCGCACCGCACGCACCGCCGCCGCCGCCGCACCTGCCCGACGTGGTGAATGGCGGTGGCGTCGGCGAGGGAGAAGGAGGAGGAGCGGGAGGGATGACTACGGCAGGGATGCCGACGATGGACGACTTCTGGCAGCTGGACCTCGAGAACCCGGACGACTTGGTGTTTGCCACGCTCGGTCTGCCGGATCTCAGCGCCTTTTTGCCGCCTGCTCCGAGCACGGCGGCTGCTGCGACGGGGACGGGGACGGGACAGGAAGAGGGGCAGGGTCGTTGAGCAAGACACGGGGAGGAAAGACATGATGATTGGTCGTTACGGAAGCTTGTGACGAGACGAGGATGGGGTGAGTGTGCGAAATGTTGGGGAGTGTGCAGAGTGGCAAGCAGAAGGTGCGGCGGGGTGTGTCGAGATGGACGAATCCTGTCGCTCTGCCAGCATGTCGTGGTGCGGTAGGGTGCGGCGAGGAAAAGAGAGATGCGGGGACGGGGGGGGATTCTCGCGGTCGTCGTGGTTGGAACCTGGCAGTTTGACTGTCGGTACGGCATGCGGGGTCGTCTGTCTCATCCTCTCGCTCTCCGCGGCGCAGCTACTGTACAGTAATCACAGCGAATCGGGGAGCGAACGAACACCGTACCACCATGTCGTCGTCGTCGTCGTCGTCGTCCATGGAGGAGCGGTGGGGCTTGGTCCGTACCCACTCAAACTCTCACCGTTAAACCCATCAAAAGTACGTTAGGGAGGAAGAGAGGGCGACCAACCAGAATGACGGGTTTTCACGTTCGAATTGCGAGACGAAGGATAAACTTTTAGCTGGCCTGCCTGCGTTTTGCATGGCTGCTTCTGCGTTTGCATCGCATGGCATGGCATGGCATGGCATGGCATGGCATGGCATGGCGGTGCATCGCAGGGCAGGGCAGAGCAGCGTACGTAGGAAAGGGAGGGAGGGAGCGAGGCTTGCTGCGACGAGGAGGCCGGGCCAAGCCAGGCAAGGGTCCGATGCCGAGAGACGCGGCGTGATTGGGCGTTTCGCTCGCATCAAGGCTAGGCGCCCTTGCGGATAGGCGAGAGAAGGCGAGGTAGGCAGGGCCGACAGGCGGCCGCGCTTGGCTGTGCAGCTGTGCGTTCAGGTACGCGCCCGACCGAGACTACTGGGCCAAGGGGGTGGAAGCGACCGAAGGCAGTGCAGGCTAGGGCAGGCGAGGCGAGCCAAACGCGCGTTGCCAAGAATCCGAGCAAGCACCTGCCTGCCTGCAGGCTGCAGCCACAACAACGGCCGCTCAGGGTCCAACCCAACGGGGAAGGAGGAAAAAAAAAAGAAGAAGAAAAAAAATCGAGAGGACAAGCAGAGGCTCGGTCGGAGGCAGGCCTGGTCCTCGACGAGATAGGTCGCGGCCGACGCTCGTTTATCCCGCACTCGACCTCGACCTCGACCTCGTCTATCGGCGTGGCAGAGCGGGGAACGACTTGGCAGGCGTACGCTCATCGCATCGACTCGGAACATGTTGACAGCAAGGCAGGCGAGGGGATCCATGGACCATCTGCTCGTCCTCACCTCTTTTGGCACGCAGCGGGGGGCGGTGGCGGTGGCGGTGGCGCTGGTCGTGGACTGGCCGGGGCGAGCCAAAGGATCGTACCACCTTGCCTAACTACTGTAGCCTTCTGCCCGCGTCGTCGTCGTCGGCGGCATCTGCAACGAAGAAGGAATGGACAGAGGCAACGACGGTTTGGCTCGACAGCCGCTCGTCGGAGACGCCGGCTTCCAGCCCCGGCAGTACTGTAGGGTGCGCGACGGCATCAGGCTAGGCAACGGTAGGATCACAGAACTCCCCTCGTTGTTCCTCGTTGAAGCCACGACGACGACAGACAGATAGACAGACGGAGAGAAGGGAACAGGCCGGCAACGCCAGGCGCGCTGCTGCTGGGGCTTTCGGGACGCTGCTCGCCGAAGATCGACAAATTGCACACAAAAAGGCGCCCGCCAGCAGGCAGGCAGATGTGCAGGCAGGCAGGCAGAGGTGCATCTGCAGCAACACCGACCGCCCCCGCCCCGTGTGTACCTGACGACGACGACGAGAGAATCTCAAAAAAGAGGCCCACGCACGCGCGCAGGGCGGATATATTCATGCAGGCCACCAGGCGCTCGCCGAACCTTTGCTCCGGGCCCTCGACGGGACGGCAAGCCAAGCATTCGAGGACAGCAGGACAGGCTGGGCTTGCGAAGCCAAAAACCGTAACGGCGCGACTGGGTTGGCAGAGCGTGAGCGTGAGCCAGAGCCAGTGCTCTCGCCGCCGCCGACGACGACGACGACTCCTCGCCTGCTCGTCTGACAGAGGGCAGGGGCCGTTGAATTGCTCTCTGTCTGTGCCTCAGCCTCTCTCCCTATGCTCGGCCCGAACGCCGTCGACGGCGCCGTGCCACCGAACCCGTACGTCTGTCGTACAACTGCTGCTGCCGTACTACCCGGGCCTGTCCGCCCCCTTCTTTGCTCCGCCGCACGACGCCGGCCAGGTCTTGGAAGTTGCGTCGGATCCTGCACCCCGCCCCATGCCCTCCAGCCTGCATCGACGGCTTGGGGCGCAGCTTCCACCCCGCGCGCCTGCCGTCACCAACACTCTCGCTGATCCACGCCCCACCACCCCGCCCGTTCGCCCGCTCGCCCGTACTGGCTCGTATGGATCGATACCGAGTCAGTCCAAGGAACAGCGGCAACTGTTACGCCGTCGGAGCGTGGGACCCACTCATGCCTTGGTCGCTTGGTCGTTCGCGCTGGCTCTGTTCCTGTTTGTGAGTTCCTCGGACCAACAGGCAGTGGGACGCTCCGTAGCCCGCTCAGCACGCCTCAGCCCAGCCCAGCCCAGTCCCGCCCAGCTCAGCTCAGCTCATGCTTTGCCCTGCCGTTGCCAAGGACGCCGCCGAACAGTCCCAGTCTCGTCCCCCGGTGATGCTGTGAGGATATAAGAAGCGGCCCTCGACGGAGCGACGGTGCTCCCTTCCCCTCTCTAACCTCACCCTCGTCCTCCGCGTCAACTACCCTCCCTTGCCACATCCCACTCCCTCCCCTTCGTCATCTCTCCACCCACCAACCCAATCTCGCCCGACATGGCTCCCAAGATCGCCGCCGCCCTGGCCGGAGTGCAGCTCCTCTTCCTCATCACGTCGCTCGGCCTGCTCGCCTACATCATCTCCAAGTTCACCGAGGCGACCAAGTTTATCAACAACTTTAACCCGCAGTCGGCCATCGCCGCCCTGTCGCAGGGCAAGCTGCCCGAGATCCCTGAGACGTTCGAGGTGTTCGGCGGCTACGAGAAGCTCGGTGTGACGCCCGCCCAGCTCGCCTCGGGCAACCTCTCGGCGCTGCTGCCCCTCCTCGGCCGCCTCAACGGCGTCCTCAAGATGTTCAAGGACATGCTCACCGTCCTCACCGCCCTCGGCTCCGTCACGCTCGCCTACAACGTCCTCTGCATCTTCACCGCCGCCTGGGTCCTCTTTGCCGCCCTCAAGAACTCGGGCGCCCGCTCCGCCGTCATCTGCTACTGGATCAACCACTTCCTCTTCTTCGTCTTCGGCATCGCCTTTATCGCCTACACGGGCGTCAAGTCCGAGAAGGGAACCTCGATCTTCTACGCCTTCGTCGCCATGTGGGTCCTCGCCGTCGTCGCGGGTTTCGGCGTCATCGCCACCTCGCTCGGCATGCTCCGCGGCTCCTCGTCCGCACCGCACTCGTCGGTCGAGATGCGCGAAAAGGAGGGCTCCGTCTAGATGCCTGCAACCTCCGGCGGTCGGTGGATCCTGTTCGTCGGTCAGTCGGTGATGCGGCGTGGCCCGCGGAGGTAGGCGCACGCGTCGGTCAACTCTGCTCGCCACCTTCGATCCCCCGATTGGCTCAAGTGCGCACGGACGCAACGCAACGCGGGCGCCCGCTGCAGCCGCAGCTGTGCAGTTTGGGCTTCGCGACCCTGCAGGGCCGCCTGCACAACGTACATGCCGCCTCGAAGGAAATGTTGGGTGATACACGCAGTCACCCACCACCACCACCACCACCGCCGCCGCCATCACTTGTCGCCGTCCCCTGTCGTCACGATCCGATCAACATCACAATACACACGACAACAATGTCCTTCGCCCTCCCCAAAAATCAGCAGGGGCAACAAGATGTTGGGGTGCGGTTCTCACTGGCCCGCCCCGCCCCGCGATGCGCTTCGCTCTCATCCTCGACTTTCCCCAATGATACCACGTCGATGCCACGAGGAATCGATACCTCTTCCCTCCTCCCTTCTTTCCCGTCTTGCAGGGACACCACACGTCGCATTCTTCTCACGAACCTTGTACTACATCGCACCGTCTCGCTGCACATACGAATACCAAGGAAACAACGGCCTGCTTGCTTGCTTGCCTCTTCGCTCCTCATGTCGATGTGTGCGCTGGGCGGCCTGGAACGGTGACCTGCCGCGGTGCATGCTGCTGCGAAGCGGTACCCTTGAAGCAGCATCTCGATGCCGAAACAGACCGGTCATCCCCGATGCTTTCTATGCAGGCGCGACGAACAAGGTGCCTTTGTCTCTCATCGGGCTGACGGAAGCCGCGCCCAGAGATATGACAAGCGATGAGAAGCAGAAAGGCGGTGTGGAACAAGGATCGTATTTCGATGGCTAGGAGGTGAGATCGAGGCGGGACAGATGCGAGGAAACGAGCGTGGAGAGGATACAGTAGACGAGCGTCGTCGGGAAGCTGATGGGAGCCCGCGCGCAGCGAGCGAGTCTGGTCGCGCGTCGCGGACGGGAAGCAAGGTGCCGGGGCGGCCCGGAGAGTCGATTGACACTCTGCCGTCCCTTGGATCCAATCGATGGAGCTAGAGGAGGAGGCAAGCGCCCTATCTCTGCGCCATCGAGGGAGCCGGGACCGGGGCCACGCCTGGACTGGCGCAGGAGGCGGTGCGGAGCGTGGCGGAGCGCTACTTCTTGAGGAGCTTGACGCCAAGTCCGAGGCCGGAGAGGTCGAGCAGCTTGTTGCTCTTGTTGGACACGACGTTGTTGCCGCCGTTGTACTGCCACTGCTGCACGCACGGCGAGGGCGAGCGCTTGAGCACGTCGAGGCCGATCTTGATGCCCGATGCGTCGAGGAGCGCGTTGGACGACGTCGAAATCGTATTGTACCCGCCATCGTAGCTCCACACCGAGTCGGAGCACAGAGGCGCCGCGGCCGTCAGACCCACGGCGACGAGGAGCGCGGAAAGAGAGAGGAAGGTGGTGCGCATCTTGACTGGGGTCTGGCGTCGAGACGGGTGGCAGAATAGGGGCGAGAGAGGGATGTCAGCCTCGAAGCGACGAGAGAGCTGCGCAGAGCGACAGCTTGCTGGTAGGCGCTCACGGTGTGAGGAAGTGTAGAGGAGCAGTGTCCGTTGCAAGGGATAGAGAGGAGCGGAAGAGAAGGCTGTGGGAGGGGAGAGGAGTGAGTGGATGATGGACCAGAGACGATGAAGAGCGCCAGACGTCCGCCTCTTTATAGCCGTCGTTCACCGCTTCACGGCAAGCTAGCGGGCTGTCGCAATGTGCAAAGAGGGTGTCAAGCGAGCGCAGCGACTTTCTCGGGGCTGGGGGCACAGCGGCATCGACATCGAGGCGCAACGAGCCGGCACCGACCAGATCCCTCGAGTCCATTAGCGATTCAGCTTCGTCTTGTCCTGCTGCCCGAGAACGCGGCAAGTGGTCAGGGTCGGTCGAGCCCGAAGTCGGAACCCGGCTTCGGCTCCCATGCAACCGCCTGCATGGACGAGCATCCCCTGACATCGCCTCCTTGAGCAGCACCATAACCTCAGGAACGACCCTCGGCGGCGTCCAGGGGGGCAATGCCAAGATGTTGAGGCGCTGTCTTCTCGATGCGCCGATCGTGACGGGGTCGTGTGAGGTCCGCAGTCGGCCTTGGCTGGTGGTCGATGAGAAGAGGGGGTCAGGACGTGTGGCATAATGGCGGTACGGTGCCGTGAGTGAGAGGAGGCAAGGGGGTATGTGGCACCCCGAAGGTACGGATCGACGTGTGCTGTATCTCGGAAGCCGGGCCGGGCAGTCTTCCGATGCTGTCGTCAAAGCAAAGTATGTAGCGCTGGTGCGGTAGAGCGGGGATGCGTTTCCGGCGGCTTCGGGAACGGCTCGGCATCTAAAGACGAACAAGGGCGGGGCCGTACCGAACGAAGAGGCAGGGAGGCATGCGCGCTCGCTTGATCGCCGCAAGGAGGATTCTCTCGCCCCTCTGTCGATTCGGGCCGAGGATATGGGCGCTGATGCGGCGCGTTGCCGATGCCTCTGCCCCGAAAGGACGACGAGGCTGTTGTCCGGAAGTCCGTGGATGCTTTGATGCTGCTCATGGTGTCGAGACGACAGGGACGTCCAAGACGCTCCATGGTCACCGCGGATGGGAGTCGGTGTGTTGGACCCCCCTGATGTGCAGGCGAGGTGGGCCTCCGTGCACACCCCTAAGGCCCCCTGTCGATCCTCGCCTGCTTCAGCCGGGCAGGCGGGTCGGGAAGGCAGCCTCGGCTCGAGAGGCAGCGCGCATCTTGACAGCTCCCCCGGCCCACGCCCCTTCGTGAAGTCAAGCCGGCCAGCCAGGCCAGGCGAGGAGCGACAAGCAAGCAACTGCGGCACTGACAAGCAAAAAGCTTGGCGTGCAAGGCTCCTCGCTCGTCAGCGCCCGCTGGCGTCGCAGGCGAGCCCCCGACAGGTGAGGGCCGCGGACGTTGTCCAGTGTGTCACTCTACGAGGTGGCAATCAGGACGGCGAGCGGGTGCGGAATGAGCGCACCTCGGCGACTCGGCCGACGAGCCATAGGTCTGCTACGCGGCTCTTTGGTCACCGGTCCGCAATCCAATCAGCCCACCAGCGATGCTGGACATCGATCCGCGGCTGCTCGACCCGCCGGGTGCAACAGAGCCTTCTTCCACCAGGCTGCTAGCAGCTCCGCATCCCGTCCGATCCATCCGTGCTGAGGAAGGGTATCCGTTAACGCGCCGCCCTCGTCCTCTGCCCCCACCAGGAGAGCCACTCGATGCGCCATGCCGAGTCTGAAGATATCGAGGTGCCGCGTCGAGGCCCTCCCGTCCCTCCCGCCCTCCCTTCCCTCCCGTCCCTCCCGTCTCCCGTCCCTCCCGAGCCAAAAGGAGAGCCGGATAGCGATTATCGAAAGGGGTGACATGGTCGACTTTGGCCGGTTCCTTCCACAGCCTCGATATAACCCGCAGGCAGAAGCCATCCGAGCGATCATCCATCCTCTACCGGCGACACCGCCTCTTCCTGCGACCCCTGCTAGCCTCTCGCTTTGTCTGAAGCCGTCTCGACGCCAGGAAGATGCTGCATCGCTTCAGCTCCCACTTGGCGCTCGTATCGGTCCTCGCGCTCTTCACCGCCGCTTCCGTCCTCAGCACTTCGCCAGCCCACCCGGTCGGAGACGAGCTCGCCGAAGTCCTGGCTCGCTTCACCGGATCCACGGCGGCAGAGGGTCACGGCAACGCGGTCCAACACGCCTCGCTTGGCCAAGGCGTTTCGAACCGTCTCGAGCAGCACGGTCGTGGAGCTGATGTCGGACGGCCGTCCGCTGCGGGAGACGCTGCCCCTTCTCATCCCTACGAGCCTGCAACTGATGCCCACCTAGGGCCCGAGGCACCACCTTTGCAGGATAAGCGGTCGCACGCCGCAGACTATGCCGCTGCAGCGTCCACCTCGCTCCAGCACGGCCGCGTCGAGGAATCGAGCCTGGTCAATTATGACCCAGTTCGGCTTCAGGCCATGATGGTTCAGCTGCGACGTCAGCGACTTCCGACCTACGAGACCACACCGGAGGAGGCCAACCTGATCTTGTACGCTCACTATCGACAACAGGCCCTCCTCGCTGCACAGCAAGCGCAGCGTGACCGCGGAGGACCGTCCAGCACTGCCCAAAACACTGCAGTAGCCTCTTTCCACACCGCATCAGACCCCCAGGCTTGGCACACTGGATACGCGCCAGCGCCTCAGTGGCAGCAGCGACCGGGTCACGAAGGCGGACTGCCCGTAAACGCGCCCTCCGGCCCCGCACAGCCATCGCACCAAGTCGCACCGGCTCCTGGTCAGAGGCCACCCTACACCATCCACGAGGCCTCACCGAGGGTCAACGGCATATTCAGATCTCAGGCCGCCAAGCGAGAATACCGCCTGATCGAGGCGGAATCCGCCGCGACCCCTCTGTGGACCACGCCGGCGGCGGAGGACCTGTTCAGGCCCCTTGCGCGGCACCACTCCTTCTCACGTGCGAGCGAGGAGCAGACCGACGCCGTCCTTGGCTACATCAAGGCGAAGATGCGCCGCGACTTTGCGCTGATCGGCAAAGACTTGTCGCAGGTGGACAACGTCCACTTCCAGCCGTGGGGCGAGGATCCGTTCCCCTTCCAGACCTACTCGCGACCGCGCACCACCAGGTCCGAGTGGCCCGTTCCTGCGGCTACCTGGACGGACCTGTCCGACCGCAGCGAGCAGGGGTTCGAGATCGGCTCCTACACCTTCAGGCTGGTGCGCAGGAGGCATGCCGCAAGGTTGGGCGAGCTTGCTCCCTGGACAGTCGTCGCCGTCGAGCGCCATGGCCTGCGTCGAGTCCAGAAGGTCTACATCGGCGAACTCATCATCCCCACGCAGCTCCTTGACCAAGCCTAGCGCGGGTGGCGAACAAGCCAGCTACGCAGGAGAGCCGTGGGAATACAGGCTTTCTGTCGTGTCCACGCTCCATCGGCCTATGCATATTGTCGTGCAATGAAGTCCGGGGCTACTTTCGTCGCCCAACTCGCGCATGAGCCCCGTTTCGAGAATCGCCCGCAGCGGGGCTAGCAAAGGCTGGTAGGCCCGGTGGCCACCCACTCAGTCTCTTCATACCGAGTGCTTCCGGGAAGCCACCTACACACCTGTCGAGCTTCATCTCCCGTTACCTTCTGGGAACCGGCGACACCAGGAGTGTATGCCCTGCTCGGCGGGTGGGACAACACCCCGTTAGCGGGACCGGGTGTGGGGCGAGATCTGCCCTCGATCATGATCAAACGAAGGCTGTACGCAAGCAGAGTGGCAAAGGCTCCGAGGAAGGTCGAGCGGTGGAGCAAAAGACAAAAGGGCGCCGTCTCACCCTCTCTTTCCGGTGGCCCGCCATCTCGGCCCTCCTCTCTCCTCCATTTTCCAAACGTCTCCTCACCAGACCGTACCGTTAGCCTCTTTCCGCCGGCAGCAGCAATACAAGCCATGGTGATGGGATCTCGGCTCCTGTACAAGGCGCTCGCCGTGATGTGCCTGCTCGTCTTCTTCGCCGCGACGATCGTCAGGGCAGCGCCTCCTTCCCCGACCGGCGAAGAGGGAGAAGCAGTATGGAGGCAGTTCGGCCACCTCCTCCACGACAGCGACGATGAAGACTCTCTTCACCCCGGTGCGGCAGACCAGCAAGCGCTGAACGACTACTACCGACAGTTCGAGCAGGCGCTCGGCGGCGGACAGCCAGGCAGCTCCAGCAGCACGTCCTCCAACCACCACGCACCGCACAACTACCACGGCAGCGCCGTCGGTCACCATTGGTCCGAAATGCAACACGAAGCCGCACCCTGGTCCGACACCGATCCCGCCGCTGCATTTGCGGACGAATTCGTCCAGCTCGACCCGGGAGCCAGGGCAATCAGCCGCACCGCCGCCGAAACAGAACAGCTTGCCGAATCTCGAGCGACTTCCGCTCTGTGGGCGACGCCGAATGCCGAGGCCGAGTTCGACTACCTCTCAGGCAGATCGCCCGTGGCCAACTCGGCTCAACGAGAGAACGTCCTCCGTTTCATCAAAGATAAGTTTCGAGAGGCACGGGATGGACGCTTCCGGAACGCTGCAGACATCGACCAAGTCCACTTCCTTCCCTCGGAATCGACACGGCTGCCGCACACGAAGTACATCAGCTTCACCAGGCGAGCCTGGAGGGGCCTGCCGAGCGCATCGGACGTGCCCGTCGTCTGGAACAAGCTGTCCACTGCGCAAGAGCGCGCCTTCAAGCTGGGCACCTACGACTTCCGCATGCGGGCGCCTCTGTCAGACGTGCGTGTGGAAGGGGATCGGCTGTTGACAGTCGTCTTTGCTCGCCCGGTTGTCAAGATGAACGAGGTGTCTTCGCCCGTCTTTGTCGGCGAGCTCATCGTTCCAGACCGCCTCGTGACCTAGCACCGCGATAAGGACGCTTGCTGCCCTGTCCTGAGCCTGATGAGCTGCTTCCAGGCGTGGTGCTCCCGGGCCCGTTCTTCTCGTCCCGCTTCTCCGATCTTCCGTATTTCCGCATGTCGATCCCTCGTTGTAAACGACGACTCCTCCAGAGTAACCTTCGGCTCTGCTTCACTTCTGTTATGCCTGGACGCCCTTGTGTGTGACAAAAGCAAGCCACACGGGAGCTGTCCTGGGGCAGGGCATAAACCTTCCGCAGCCCCACTCGTCGAGCTGCGTTGCTGTCGGTCGAAGGCGTCACCGTCCCCACCTAATTTGGCGGGGCGTGACTTCCGAGCTTCGGCGTTGGATCCGGTCTAGGCTGGCTTCCCTCGACCACACTTCGAACGGCTGCTGCGAGTCGTTCCACTCTGCGCGCTACGCGGACAGGATCGCTCCTGGCTTCCTACCCAAGACATACATATACACTCGCGATTTCGGTGCCCTTCTCAGAGAAATACATACCGACAAGCCCGCTTCGCCAGCCGCCTCGAGCTCACCCCTCACATTTTCCACTCTCAGTTCAGCGGACCTACAACGATGCGATTCGGCAACTCTCTTCGTTTCGCCGCGCTCTCGGCGCTCTTGCTCTCCAGCTCACGTTTCGTCCAAGGCCTCCCTCCACCCAACCCCGAAGAACTCCAAGCCTTCTGGCATTCAACGAGCGGACAGGTCCGTCCCGAGGATGTCGACACCATGGCCCTGGAGCTCCCCAACTTCCGCTCCGCACCCGACCTCACCTACGCTACGCAGCGCGGAAGTATCCACTCCGTCGGCGAGTCTAGCAGCGACGCCGACTCGCATCTCGCACATAACGGTGCGACGGCGGCGCGGCCGACGCTTGACGTCGTCGAACACCAAGTGATTTTGGCCAAGTCCACAGCCGACTACGTCTGGACTCTGTCGAGGGCCTACCGACACATCATGTACGGCAGGAAGATCTCGTACGCCGCGGAGCCGCTGCGGGAGGCGGTGCTCGACTACATCAAAGCCAGGATGCGCCGCGACTTCCGCTTCTACCACCCCGCCAGCGACCTCTCGGCCATCGACCGCGTCATGTTCCTCCGTCCAGAGGACCGCCCCGCGCCCGATTCGCTGTACTCTTTCCGGCTCAAGACGAGCTTTCAGCCCGCGGTCAAGAGACGCGAGCCCGCGCCGGCGTTGCAGTGGAGGAACTGGGCAAGGGCAGACGAGCGCACCTTTACCCTGGGCTCGTTTCGGTTCAAGGTTGCCAAGGCCTCGGTGGCGCATGATCCGGACGGCTACACGCTGCTGACTGTCATCGCCTGGCCCGAGAGGGAGGAGACGTTCTACGACCGGATCTGGGTTGGGGAGCTCGTCGTGCCTCAGAGGCTGCTGCAGCCCGCCGACTTTCAGACAGGCGCCGCGTAAGAGCGCCCAAGGTACAGGTCTCGAACGTGCAACAGTCGCCACGGCGAGCTACCACATCCACTGCTACGAACCCCTGCATGGCCTGGCCACCTCCCGCTCCTCTTCATCTACACTTTCACCTTGCCTTTGTTGCCCTGAATGAACCTCTAGTGTCCACCCGCTCCATCCGTCCCTCTGTGCGCGAGAGGCTTCGCTCCATCCTACTGCCTGGAGGAAGCAGGTCGTTTCCTGCCTCGGCTAGTGCTTGCCTGCGAAGCAGTCTGGGCAGCATCGCGGTCGAAGACGCCAGGCCACATCTCTTCGACGCGCAGCCCGATCGTGTGGCGAAGATGGTCGCGGTACTGCCAGCCTTCGGGCGAGTTGAGCCAGCGGCCGAAAGCGACGTGGGTCGGGTACCAGTGCGGCAGGGCGTCTCGCATCACCTCGAACCGCTCGGTGCCCTCGGCGGGGAGGAACTGGGCATCGACGTTGGGCAGTTCGCGCGCTTCCCGGCCGAATCGATGGGCGTACATCTCGTAGAACTCGTCGAGCTTGTTGTTGAGGATCGCCTTGACGAGCGTCTCCTTTGAGAAGTCGAAGGGAACGGCGGTCACGGCACCTGCGCCGAGGACGGCGAGGAGGGTGAGGGTGGCGAGCCGAGATGGGATGAGCATCGTGATCGAGGCCAGATGGTCGTGCTTGCTTGGCAGGAGGGGGAGCGCGTTGAAGGAGGAGCGCAATTCGGCGGTAGAGAGCGGTACGACGACGTGAGGAAGACGGTCAGCGAGCTAGCCTGCGCTTTTTATTTCTTCCGCGGCGACCGCAACGCATGGATTTCGGGGGTTGTCGAGTGCTGTCGGTGACGCTGCTAATGAGGTGGGGTCCGCCGACACCATGGGGCTGAAACAAGAACCGATCGTGTGGGGCAATGAGGGAAAGCACGACCGAGAGAGCCGCGGTCTATCTCATCGGATGTCGGGTGGCGCTGCGTTCGCATCCGAAGCTTGATCCAGATCAGGCGGCTTCGACGCTTTGATATCCTTAACGCTATGACCCCGATGCTTCCTTCACTCCGCCATCACGGCAGGGGACGCTTGATCTGGCCTTGAATGGGCGAGTCCTCGCAAGGAGCCGAGCTTAGTGTCAGCTCGGCAACGGAGAACAGCAGCCCAAGGCAAAGGGAAATTGGCTCAGACCGCTGAACACAGGGAAAGCATACGCAGAGGGAGAATCTCGCAGCATTGCTACAGCTCTCGAGACGACACGGCGCGACCGGAATCTTCGGATTGCGGACAAGACGTCGGAGGGAGAGGGTGGTGCAACGCCCTCAAAGGGCCTGGCTATCTTGGCGTCGAAAGCCAGGGATGAGTGGAGGAAAGGAGAGATTGGGAGAGAGGACGAAGTGGAGAGGAGGAATATGAGGGAAGGGAGAGGGAGTTGGCGACACGCACGAGCGTGTGATACAGGAACGTGGACGCATGGACCGACAAGTTGGCGGCAGACACAGCGCTGCGAGAGCTAGCCGCGCCATGGCGCTGACGGCTCGTCTATCCTGCACGAAACCCGGGTCGGCTGTTGCTTCCGAGCCTGAGGGACCGAGCCAGGCGAGGCGCTGAGGGACACGCGTCGCCTACTTGCGGCCGTTGGAGCGCCTCCAAGCATCGTAGACCTCTTTGCGAGCCGCGACAATGGCCGCAAACTGGCTGTCAAACTTGCGCTGCTTGTCCGCGTTGACCCACTCCTGGAACGCATCGACGGTCGAGAGCTCCGGGTGGGACTGGTAGAACTTCTGGAAGCTGCTGCGCGCCTTTCGGGGAAGCGTCTCGACGTCGTTCATGACCAGGCGTGCGATGTTGTCGGAATCGCCCGTAAGGTCGGCGTAGCCGCGGTACATCTCGCCAATGTTGCGGATGGTTCCCTCGACCGTGCCCTGGAACGGGCCGAGGCCAGCGGCTGAGACTCCCGGGCTGACGAGGGCGCCGAGGACGACGAGGCCGACGGTGACGAGGTTCTTGAACGAGACCATTTTCGATCGCTTGATGGGTTACGGGCGGTGTATGAGCGGGTTGAGCGAGTTTAGGGGAGAGAGCAAGAAGGGGCTTTTGTGTGAGGTTGCGTGGTGGATGTGCTGAAGAGGAGGGAGAGGGGATGCGTCGTTGCCTCCTCCTTTTATGCCTATCGACGCTCGCTACGCGATGGTGCTGAACCTTCTGCTTGGTGCCATGGGACTGACGACGGCCCCACGCGCGCCCTCGCTGCGCTCTGGAATCGTCACTCTGAGCGAGCTTGGAGCAAGAGGATGGGGCGCGTTCCCCCTCGGCGACGAGCCCGACGGGGTGTGGTCTGCGATGAGTTGATAGCATTGGCGGGATAGGGGTTGTTTCGGGGCGTCTCTCCTCTCCTGACGTCGACCGGATGAGATCGGATGTCGAGGTCCGGGCGGGTCCAGATGGAGTGTGGCGCGGTGTGGCCATATCGAGGCGGCGAGCGTGCTTTGAGGCAGGAAATGGGGGCTGAGTAACAAGGAAGTTGTTCCCGAGCTTCCTGATTGCTGGATCTCGACAAACGAGCGGGGACGGTACCGCTGTCCGTGGTGGGTGCGGCGCAGGTCGGGGCTGGACTGGCCCACAGCTCTGTCGTTCATAGCCCGCAACATGTTCCACCATTGGATGGGTGTCGGTGGGAGAAGGGGAGTGAGGCCGTGTCACGTCGAGCCCCCTCGAGGCCCTCTTTCGGGCGGGCAAAGGCCGGATGCATCCTCCGTACTTCGTTGTTGGCCACCCACGTCAATAAAATCACGACTCTCCGCCCCTCTCTAATCGCTCCACGTCTGTGTCTGTGGGCAGCCACGAGACCTGTTCATTTGCGAGATGAAGCCGTTACGCCCGTCGCCGAGGCCTCGTTTCATCACGCTCGGGTCGATGTTCACGGACGCACAGTCAGCCGGGCACGGTCGAGATTGGGGTCCGAGCTTGGTTTTGGACGAGCAACGTGGCGTTTGCATCTGGCAGCAGATCGTGCACGCGGTGAGACGGACCCGGACCGACCGCTGGTGTTCCCTTTTGTCAGGCTCGGCTCGCATGGCGCACCTCCTGGCCGTCGTTGAGGAGCGAGCTGCTACCTGCGACCTTCTGAGCGCGCATGCTTGGTCCGATGCTCATCTGACGGTGCTTCCGGGAAAGCCACGGGGTCAGAAGCGACAGTGCGGTCCTCTCGAGCGGAGAAGCACGACCACGGGTAGACCCCGCCACCTCATCCGGCTGCTTCGACTCGGAATCGTCTCGATCTGCAGGCACTTTGAAGTCGGAAAAGCGATAAGGTTTAGAGCGGGGGCTGACATGTGGTCGACGGTAGAGTGTAGCGTAGTAGCGTAGTTGAACAGTGTAGGATAGAGGCAGAGGCTAGATTAGGAATTTGGGAGCGAGGGGAGCGAAATTTAGAGCGATGTTGGGTGAGGGAATGGATGGAAAGCAGCAAGACTCTAGGAAAGGGGTGAGGTTGAGGCGAGGGTGTGGCAGGGTGCGCGATGGCGATTGAGGAGGCGCTGAAGGGCTGCGGCCGAGTCTCTCCGCCCAGACTTTCGTTTCAAAATCCACGGTGGTGCTCTTGCACTTGCGCTCGCAGCGACAATGCTCGGTACCAAAGTGCGGCCAGGCTGTTCGGGACCTGTTCGATGTGCGTCAACGGCCCAGGGCTCCACTGTGCGTGGACGTTGGCGAGGCGGCGGCTTGGTCGCTGTATGCCCGCGAGCCTGGCAGGCTCGGCTCTACCAGTAGCGCCTCTTGTGCTCCATGACGAGGCTCTGGACCTGGTCGTAGTACTCTCTTCCCGCCCTGGTGTTGAGCCAGTGCTTGAATGCCTGGGCCCTGGAGTAGGACGGGACCTGGTCGTGGAAGCTGTCGAGCTTGTCGGCGGCTCCGGGGAGGCGGCTCAGGTCCTGGCGGAGGAGGTCGTCTGCACGCCTTCCGGTGGCCTCTGCGAGCTCGTCGTACATGCGGTCGATGTTGCGCACGATGCCAGTGACGGACTGCTGGAAGAACTCGTCGGGGGCAGCCGAGACGCTTGCGGTGGACAGGGCGAAGAGGGCGACGAGGGCGATGAGGATGCGCTTGTGGGAGACCATGGCTGCTTGTTCGAGGGGGATAGGAGGAGCGAGGAGGGGTTTGCTTCGTTGGAGAGGCTGGACGCTGTCAGACGGGAGAAGGGATGTGAGTGAGGATGGTGTGAAGAGAGGGGGGGCAAGGCGTTGATCCCGGGTCCCTTTTATCTCTACCCTGGCCCACCGCTGGCGTCGTTGCTGGGCAAAGGCAGGGTCGCCTGTGCGGCGTACGCTGTCGATCAAGGAGAGAGAGAGGCTACGGCGGCCAAGGCTTCCTCGAGGGGAGCCTGGAAAGACGATGTTGGTGAAGAGGGAAGCCTAGCCAGCTGGAAGCCGAGGGCTTACTCGTGACTGACCGTGCTTGGGCGCGATGAGGAGCGGCCTTTGTCATAGGGTACGGCTTCGAGGTGAGCGCACTGCCTCGGGGCGGGTGCGGGGCGCAGTGGTGCTCATTCATATCTGTATTGCTTGGCACGGCAGGAGGGCGGGGCAAGGGTTGCAAGAGAGTTGTGGGTGGCCAAGAGGGATGCGGTGGTGGCTGCCGATGGGCATGCAAGCGTCGGACACGAATCAGAGGGTGGATATGAAGTACGTGGTGGGCCGTTGAGAGAAGGGCGGCCGTCTCGCTGGTGGCTGGCTGGCTGGCTGGCGGGCGGCCTTTTGGCTGCTGTCCAACATGGCGGCGTTTGTCGTCGGGGCTGAGAGCGCTGCGTCTTTCGGCCGAGCGACTGGGCGGCCATTGGAGAGTGGAGGGGTGGGCAGTGGGCAGGGTTGGACCTGCTGGTTGGACCTGGTTGGACGACAGGCGCACACGGACCTCTTCTGTGTCCTTCTTCGCCTCCCTTTGTCCCCAGTCGGCCATCCTGATTTCTCTCCCACCCACCACCACCGCCACCACCACTGCCATTCTTCTCTTCGGTTCAAGGCGTCCCACCCCGCGCCCCGAACATACCCCTGTCTCGCACCTATGCAACCATGACCTGATCTCATCCCCCGTCTCTGCTGCCAACCTGGCCCTCACCTCGCCTCACCTCGCCTCACCTCGCTTCTCCTGACGACCACCACCACCCACCGCCGTCCCGCCTCGCCCAACATGCCCAGCTACGCCGACGTGCTCGACCAGATGGTCCGCAATGGCGCGACACCGGGCCCGTCCAACCCGCTCGGCTTATCCATGCGCACCGGCGACGGAGATTTGCTCATGCTCGACCACGACTCGACCCGCGCCCAGACCCACCAGCCGCCCCTCGACGAGGTCGACATGATCGACCTCGAACTGCAGCCTGCCTCATCGTCCGCCGACGCTGCTCCTCCGGGCGCACCCAAGGCCCAGGAAGCGTGGAGGGAAGACCTGGCACGCCTGCGCAACGTCGACGCCGTCCCAAAGAGCCTCTGGGTGCTCGACACAAACGTCCTCCTCTCCTCGCTCGACCTCCTCCAACCCCTCGCAGACCACATCATCGAGCAGAACGTCGCATCCCTCCTCGATCCCACGGGCACCCTGCCGCCCTCGCCCATCGCACTCGTCATACCCTACCGCGTCATCACCGAGCTCGACGCCCAAAAGACGTCGACACGCGAGACGACCCGCCTCCCCTCACCGGGATCCCACGGCCGCAGCACCACCCACCGCCTCTCGTCACTCGCACGCGAAGCATCCCGCTGGATCCTCACCACACTCAAGGCCCAAAAGAACCTCCAGATCCCCCTCGCGCACGACCACCACCTCCCGCTGCCCCAGAGCCACCGCGCCCTCTACGGCCAGACCCACTCGCACCACAACCACACCAGGCCGAGGGGACGCTGCACAAACGACCAGGAGATTGTCGCCTTCTGCAAGCGCCTCGACGACGACGTCGGCGGCGTCGTCTTTGTCACCGACGACCGCGACGCCGCCATCACCGCAGAGCTCGAAGAGGTCGAATCGCTCCAGATCCGCGACATTGTCGACGCCCTCGTCCACGGCCGCGGGCAGGACGGCAAGCAAGACGACGGCAACGGCAGGCGCGGCTGGAAGGAGTGCGTGCCCGAACTCGTCGACCAGTGGGTCTACCAGATGGGCGGCGCTCCGTCGATGCCGCCAGCGGTCGCTGCTGCCGCCGCTGCCGTCCACCCCGAGGTTGTCACAGCGGCGATACCGGTCCCTGAACCGATCGACGAGGTGCAGATGCACGTCGAGGAGCCGGACCCAGTCACGGTCCCGACACCGCCGCCGCCGATACCGCCGTCTCCGGTACAGCCCGTGAGCGTCGCAAACAAGCGCTCGCCTCGACTGAGCCCGGACGGTCGCACGACCAGCGACAGCATGCACGCGCCCATGGCAAAGCGACGCAGCCCGCCATCATACCCCACAGCAGCACATCAGCGGCGGCCAGATCCGGTGCAAAAGGAAGGCGAGGACGACAAGGGCCAGCTGCTCAACCCGCACATCGACTGGGAGGCGCTGGTCGGTGCCGGCGGGAAGAGGTCCAACGGAGAGCGGAGAAGGTGGTAGCCCACCAACCTGGCTGAGCCTGCCCTTGAGCTGCCGATGAGCGGTCACTTTGAACGAAAGGAGAGGCGACGATCGAGGCGGTGGATCAACACATACCCAGGCATCCATTATTTTGCACGGCGAGAAGCCGACCATTCAGCATGCAATCCGACCACGGCGCTCGTTCGATCGATGCTCCTTCCTCGACGTAGGCCCTTCCTGGGTGCACCGCCTGCGCTATCGTGAACGTCGACGGTGGCTGGACAGGGCGTTGCCTTGTATTTGTGTCGCTGACTAGCGCGTACAACACGGCGCGGCAACGCGTCCGCGCATAGGGGCCGGGTGGCAAGAGGGGCTTGGCTTCAGAGTCACTCGACGTGAGCGACGGCACCTGGCTCGACCATCGCTCGGAGAGCTACACGGACCGGGGGCGTCGATCGCGACACTCGGCCTCTCAGGGTGCAGCGAAGTTGCTGAGGCCAGCCGGCCTTTGGATCGGCGAGGCGTCTCAGTCGGTCGGCTTGAAGCCGCCGAGGAAGTAGAAGTTGACCTGCTGCTGTTCGCCGTGCTTGAGGACTAGCAGGCGCTCGAGTCGGGGCAGGAAAGGAAGGCGGGGGGCGAACATCCCGGCGGCGACGTCAGTCGAGCGGTCTGGCAGGTCCGACCCTGTTCCGCCTCGACACGCAGGGACGACTCGAGAGACCCACCTCGCACGCCGATATCACGGAGCGGGTTGGCCAACATCCTCTCGATGCCCTCAAAGACTGAGGGATCACGGGAAAAGGCAGTGTAGCAGGGCTCGATGAAGGCCTTGCGGCGGAAGGCGCAATCGTTGAGCGCGAAGCAGAAACGCTGAGGGTGGGGTCGACACTCGACGCTGCCCGGCGCACCGCGGCACGCGATGTTGAGCTCCTCGTCGCTGTCGGGGCGCGAGAGCCACCAGGTTGCGACGCCGTGCAGACACAGCTGTCCGCGACCCGGTCCGACGCGGAACTCGACTCGGCCGACGCCCGGGATCGTGTACGCCGATCCGAGGGCGTATACGCCGTGGGTCGCGCCCAGGGTGAGGAGGAGGATGAAGATGGGGAGGCGGAGGTCGAATCGCATGGTGGCGTAGATGCGTTGGTTGAGGTCAAGGCTGAGCTAGTAGACTGCGGGGATGGTGGTGGAGTCGAGAGAGGGTACGGTCAGCGACTGACGTCTGCCTGGCGGTCTGGCAGGTCCGCGGGCCAGGCTGTCTCGACCCTCGCACAGCTGCGCGCAGCCAGGGCACACGCACAGGCTGGCCTGGCCTGTGCTGCGGCAGGTCTGGCTTACTCAGTCACGGTCGGACCCACCCTCGCCTCTCTCTCACCGCGATCGGGCGGGCGCACGGCGCTCGCGGTTGGCTGGCCAAGCCCTGGCTACGCCGTGGCTACCTGGAGAGCCAGCCCCTCATCACGCCTGCGTCAGCCATTGCCTTGGCGGCCGTCGACCCGCTCTGCTTCTCGGCAACGTGTGGCACAGGCTAGGCTACCTGACCTCTCTCACCGGTGCCGACAGGCGGAGGCAGGAGCTCGGCCATCGGCGATTTGCTTGAGCAGCGGATCACAGGAGTGATTGCACGGGCTCTGAGGCGTGGCACTACCTGACGTTATAGGCAGCGTCGCTTCGGGACTCGACGGACGCCAGGTGGGTCTGGCGTTCGGGCAGTGAGACCGATAGCAGGGGGGCGACCTGGTACAACGGCTCCGACGACAGGACGCAACGAGGCGCGATATCACATGTCGGGAGCGAAGACGCCAAAGGGGTGGAGCGTGTTTGGCTGCCCGGAGACGCCCGGCACTGCACAGGGCGTAGACGATACGTACGGTTACCACACAGCAGAGGTCAGCGCGACGTGTTCACCACGGGACCGGAGTCGAGGATGCGAGGAAGGGGAGAGGGGCTCACCCAAAGCGCCGAAGTCGCGCGACCGCGTTGCAAACATGCTCTTGACGCCCTTGAAGACGGCGGGATCGCGGACGGTCAAGGTGTAGCACGCCTCTGGCGCCGCTTTGGCGGGCAGCACGCACCCCTCGATCGAGGTGCAGCTCTGTTGCGGCTGCGGGACGCAGGTAAAGGTGCCCGGCTGCGTCGAGTCGGTGCACTGGATGTTGTGCACCTCGACGCTACCCACCCTTCCCAGCATCCAGGGCCAGCCTTGGATGCACAGCTGTGCGCTGCTCGACGAGACCTTGAAACGCACCCATCCCAGCGTCGGGATCAGGGCTACGGTCGTGTCGCACTTGACGCTGCCAAGGGCCGTCAAGGCCAAGAGGAGGAACGAGGCGAGACGCAGGATGGTGGACATGGTGGAAGGAATGATGGAAGGGGATGGCAATTGCGAGCTTGACGAGAAGGGGAAGACGGAGAGAGCGACTACTTGTACATCGCGGCAAGCTACCGAGGTCGCTCGAAATCAAACCTACTATAGCCCGCTCGCCGCGGAGGGGTGGCAGCTCCTCCGTAGTAGCACCCTTCATCGACCGATGGGCAGGGTGCTGCCTCTCCTCGATTGTCGCGCAGTACACCGTCACGATGATCACTGCGGGAGGTCAGCGACAGCCTGCTGCCGCTCGCTGTTTCGAGTATCGAGAAGGCTAGCATCACAGATAGAAGCCACGGCAGCGGGGAGGCGCCCCAGACGCCTTCTGGCTCCCTGCTTGACGTCGTTTATTGCCACCAGACAAAGCTCGGCTGCGCTGCTTTAGTCGAGCTTGGTGCTCGGCTGCGGTGGGATGTAAATCCCGGCTTGGCGCCGCCGCCGGGCTGTCCATCCCCGCATGCCGCATCCTACCCCGCACACGCCCAACGGTACGCCGGTCAGGATGAGGCTAAGTGGGGCGAGAGATATGAAGTGGCGCTCGAGGTGGACGCCGGCGCGCCACTTCTCGAGGGTAGGCTGATGAGCCTCGAACCGGCTGGCCACCGCATCCACTCTAGATGCTGCGCCTGCCGTCGACATCCAAGCGCTGCCTCACACGGCGGATGGCATCGTCTTGTCTCGTTCTTGCCCTGCGAGGGCCGCTATCGACCTCCTCCCGGGAACCGTAGGACATCTCCTGGTCGGAATGTCCCTCGCCCGGTGTGGCGGTGTCGTCCAGCATCGGCGTCGTACCGCGCTCGAAGCTCGTGCCTTCTAATCCGTCAAAGTTGCGACTACGTGCATGGCGTCCAACGAAGACGGGAGGCACACGGGGCTCGCGGATGAAAGGCTTGGGGAAGGCCGAGTTCTTGATGCCCAGCTCTCGCTCGTGCTCTCTCACCTCTTGCAGCCGGTCGCGCAGGATCTCCTCGATCTTGGGGCGGTACTTTTGTCCGTGCTCGAAGCGCAGCCACTCGGGCAGCGTCGCAAAGCTGTCGCGCGGCAGACCGAGGCGCGGCGAAAAGTTGTTGTCGTACACGTGGAAGCCCGTCAGGGCCCACTGTCCCGCGCTCTGGATGTCGCGCAGCAGGCTCTCCTCGATGACCCTCGGATCGGTGTTGCCATCGGTGTAGAGGGAGTGCAGGCGGTAGATCTTCTCGATCACGTCCTTGTCCAGCACGTCGATGTCGGGGAGCGACGCCACAGAGGCGATGCCGAGGCAGGTGAGGAGGAGCAAGCTCGCAAAGAGGGCGATGGGCTTCATCGGTGCGACGTCGGAGGAAGTGGCGACTGCCAGCCTGGAAAGTGGGTTGACAAGGGGGGCGAGAAGAGTCCATTGTTCGCAGCCCGTTCGAGGTGGGGTTCTTGTACGAGGGTCGAGGCCGTCAGGCAACGGCAGCCTGCGCTCGGTGCTGGGTGCCGAGGCTTCTGTATCGGGCTTGGGTGTGAGGGGCGGGTCATGTGGCGTCATCCCTGAACGACATTCTCATGACCACCGAGGTTGGGCGCCACCGAGCTCAGCATCGATTCAGCCACGGGGATGGATGTCGTTCCGGGCTCACACCTCGGCCCGACCTTTGCTCATCTCGACCGACCCACCTTCGGGGCGTTGCGAAAACCTTTTCGAATAGATACAGCAAAAGGCGCTCGATCGCCTCGGCTCGTTGCCGCGGAATCCATCGGTCGAGTTCGAGGCCTTCGTCGGATCACAGCGATCCTCGCCGCAGGTAGACCGTCGGGATCCCAGAACGGGCCGGTAGAGGTCGACAGACGAAGCTTTTACCGCCACCCGCGGCGTGAAGCCTCGTGCCGCAACGTGGGTGAGGAGCGGAGCTCAGCCGTATCAATCAGCGCAGCCTGGCTGGCATCAACCGCGGCCTCAGTGGGCGGGCCAAGCAGCTCAACGCTATCGCTGCCAGCCCGGGAAAGAGACGCTGGAGCTGGATATCGGCACGACTTGTGCGGCTGAGGGTTCCCATCCTCATCAAACGAGTGAAAGACGGAGAGGCAGGTGCAGATCATCGGCCATATAAGCAGGCCGGACTGACGACCTCGAACGTCCTCACATCCCATCTCAACCCAGCTCCTCACACTCTCATACACGCATACACGCACATTTATACAGACCTCTACCAAAGATGGTGTCTCTCCTTCGTCTTCTCGCCTTCAGCCTGTCTCTCGCCCTCATCGGGCTGACGCTCGCCACGCCGGTGCCAGGCATGTCGGACGCGTACCTCGTCGACGTGCTCGACCCGTCCGAGATGGAAGCCGTCTACCGCAAGTTCGCCCACTACTTTGTCCACGAGCCGGGCGAGCACACGGCCGCCGAGGTCCTCGAGTCCGACGTCGCGGGCATCGATCCCGAGGCGGGCGCCGACTTCAGCCTCATCCTCAACATCCGCACCAGCCTGCTGGAGGAGGGCAAGTCGCCCTGGAAGGTCCTCGTCGACTGGCTGCACGAGGACGACAACAAGCGCCACACGGCCAGGATGATGAACATCGTCCGCGAGAGGCTCAAGGCCGTCAGGGAGATGGAGGCTGCCAAGGACGCCAACTCGGGCCTCCCCAACGTCCGTACCCACTCCAGCTCGAACCCTCCCGCTTCAAGTGATCCCGGCTCCAGCCGCACGCCCTAAGGCCGGCCCTCGACGTTCCGGGGCGGAATGCCATCCTGAGACGACGCCCCCTGACGTCTACAGGGAGGCGCTCGGCGGAGGAAGCTGCCACAGTCGAGATAGCGAGAGGAGAGGAGGATGAGCTCAATGTGGATCCGATGGCTTCTCGAGGCGAAACGCGCGTTGATGTGACACAATTGAGCGACGTGGCACCCTCAAAGCCTCCAAAGCTGGTAGGCGAACACGCGGATGGCGCATAGGTGAAAGATGATGAGATTCAGATGGTGGGTTTGGAGCGGAGAGAGGGGGCGAGTTTCAAAGACGAGGGCGTCTAGAGAGGGGAAAGGGGATCAGGCAGATTGCCAGGGCTCGTGCCGATTACTTGGTGCGAGGAGGCGATGCACAGCATCATCACCTGTAAGAGGCTGCGAGGAGAGGCAAAATGGCTTGAGATGGGAGCGAGGCCCGCAAAGGAGGCAAAGAAGACCGCCGGAGAAGGCACAGAGCCGACGTCGGGCGAGCGGTACGACTTTGACAAGCAACGGGTGCTTGCCATGCTGCCGCGTGTGTGCCGTCTGACCAGGGCAGTGCGACCTCAGAGACTGCGGAGCTTGGTGTTGAGCTCGTCGCGGAAATGGGTTCCCTCAAAGTTGATCCAGGTCTCGAGTTCGTGGAGCTGGTTTTCGGTCGACTCGGGAAAGCCGTAGCGAGCGCGCCAGGCGTCGAACCTGCTCAGGGCGCCGATCTCTCCGAGGTGGCCACGCATGGCCTCGACGGCTGCATCGTTGCTGCCGAAGCGGTCCGTGTAGAAGCTAACAAGCCTCTCGATGGGCGCAACGTGCCAGTCGACGGGCAGGCCAGGACGGGCGCTGACCACGGTGGCCAGGACAACGAGGCCAGTCAGGGCGTAGATGGGCTTGATGGCGACCATGTTTGCGGATTTGGGTTGAAAGAGTGAGCAACGCAGCGATGGGTGTGTGGTTAGTCAAAGGCTTGGCAAGAGAAGGATTGGAGAGCGAAAGATGGAGATGGGGAGGTGGCAGTCGAGGAGGACAAAGAGCGACGTTAAATACCTTCTCGCCCAACAGCAGCTGCGTCGAAGAGCGGCGCTGCCTACCAAGGAGGGCAAGCCGTTCAGGCAGAGTTGATGGGGCAGTCCGCCAAACCGTCGATTCGTGAGCTTCCTCCTCCCGTCCCACTGCTCGCCTCGAGGATAATGGGGACAAGGAGCGGAGAGCTCTGCCCATCGCCCGTTAGCTGCGGCACTCGTTGCGCAACTTCGCGCACCCTCGGATGGATTCCGGCCCGCAGGAAACAGATCGGAAAAGGTCTGCCCCACCGTCACAGCAATTGCGGTCCGCATTCGACAGATATGTGCGGTCTTCATTGGCCGCCTTTGCTTGAGGACGGTGGGGCCTGTTGCGGTCGACGAAGACGGGGAGAGGGCGAAGTGGCGACGAGCGGCGACTTTCCCACCATATGAACTAGTCGAGTGGGAAGATGGGGCGAAGCGTCCCACATGTTGTCGGTGCTCACAGCATCTCGTCAAGCCCCGAAACAATCAGCTCAAGGATCGGTGGTGGGCCGCTTATGAGGAGGGGTGCCGGAAGATCGGGGCTGGAGTCGGGGCTCCTCTCTACACGACGGGGTCGAGGTTTGGCAGGAATGGCTCGGACGGCTGGAGGGCATTGTGTGTGATTGCGGAGGATCTTCAGCCGTATGGCCGCCTCTGGAAGTGCAGAAGACTCTGCGAGCAAGTGGCGCATGGCTCGGGAGGAAGACTAGCAACAAGGCAAGGGCTGCCTAGGCAGGCCCAAGGGGGACCAGAATGGCAAGCGTCGCTCGCAGAGACGCTCTGTTGGTTGGACCGGATTCACCGTAGCGACGTCGCCTCGAGCAGTTTTGGCGAGGAAGTAGAGAGGGGAAACGACGGTCGCACGAGGAGACGTTGGAGGTTTCGGTTCGAGGAGTAGTCAGAAGAGCAAAGCGACCCGGCATGCTACGGCTGGGCCGGCACATAGAGGTTCAGCCAGCGACGATGGACGACAAAGTCGCCGATGTAGATCCGGCCCGAAGAGTCCGGGACTGCAGGGGTAGCGATGGCCCTAAAAGTCCTGAACTCCTTGGCGTGTGGGCTGTTGCTGTGGGTCTTGGACCTGTTGAGGCGGAAGAAGGCGACATCGTACGCGGGCGGGCCGTCCCATCTGAAGCTCGAGAGCAGCGATGTGGGTGTGTGTCTAAGCCTCGGGTAATTCAAGAGGTTGTTGAGCTGTTTCCGGAGCGATTCGTCCAGCATCGACGGGTCGGCCTGGATAGAGAGGACCCGATCGTCTAGCGCTTGTATGGGCGCACCGGGAAGGAGGATGTGGGCAAGCTTGAGTCGTTCCAGGAGCTTCTCCTTGACCGCAGCGAAGAGGGCGGCGTGGCCGAGCGTGTACTGGTGTACCAGGGCGCGCGAACCTCGGTAGGCGGGATGGGAAGTGCCGATTCGTTGACGACTCCTTCTGAGCGGCGCCGACGTCGGATCCGCCAAAGGCTGCAAGGAGAGATCCGCTGGAGGAAGACTGTTATGATCGAACGCTTCTGCGGCATGCGGCGACGATGGCGACGACGATGCTTGGCCAGCAAAGGAGGCTGGCTGAGCGCCATGTTGATCGAAAGACGGAGCTTCGGCGAGCTTCAAGATGTCCGGCCAGTCGTAACGCTGGACATCGTGCTCAAAGGTTGCTGGGGCCGCTTCGCCGACGGGCGGTACGTCCGGCGCGATCGCTCGAGGGAGCAGGCACGAGAGCGGCAGCAGGAGTCTAACGATGGCGGAAAGCGGAGCAAGCAGCATAGTGGCAGAGTCTGCGGGAGCAGGAGAGATCCGAGAGAGGAGGCTGCGGCGAGGCGCTTCGCGAGTGGAAGAAAGTGGAAAGTGATGGGTGTCGAGACGATGGGCAAAGGCGGCCGCAAATCCAGCGCTGACCGCCTTTGCATCACCAACGAGCGCGCTGTCACTGCTTTCGCTGGCAGGCACTACTTCCGTACAAGCCGTCAAAGCATGATCTTGGGGCAGCAACGGAATGATTCGCAATTGGTATGATCACGCTCTCGGGGCGCTACAGATCCGCATCGGCTCGGCGAGTCTCCTCTTGGAAGTCACGCCAGAGTGCCTCGGGGCGACCAGGGCAGCTAGGGAGCAAGAATCCTCCCGGAGTTCATAGCCAGGCGCCGAAGGCAGGGAGATTAGGCCAGGTCGGCAAGCCCGGATCCAGTCTCGGAGTGAACAGCCGCGCCGCAAGTCACCGGTACGGCGAACTAAGTCGAGGCCGCGCTAGACCGCGGTCGCCGTCGCTTTGACTCCGTTTGTTCTTGAATGAGGCGGGGCGAGATCGACTTCCAGGGAAGCTTCTTTGCGTGTCCTCGCTATGGCGTCGTGCTTCCTGCGGGTCCTCCTCTCGTTGGTGTTCGTCGTTGCATCTCCAGGGGTTGGTTATTTGAAGGCTGCAAGATCCAGAGGGGACGATGACGACGATATTATCGCCGACGCTTGCACTGGCTCGATGATGGGAGGTGGACACTGCGACCGAGAGACGGTTCGACGCTCGTCGGAGCACGGCGGCGCACGCAGAGCCTACGCCTCGCCATCCCTGAGCAGCTGCTGCCAGAGCATGATGGACTGCATCCTGCGCTCGGTGGGATCCTTTGGCTTCGAGCGCTTGGAATCGAAGATCAAGGCGAGGAGGCGGTAGAGGAGCGTTTCCTCGGCCTTGTCGGTGCCCATGCCGACCTGGAGGACTTCGAGCACGGCGCACTGGCCGTGGTTCCAGTCGACTTCGACAAAGGCGGTCCAGAAGGGCGTCTGGATGATGGCGCGGTCCTGACGCGACGTGACGATCATCCTCTGGACGTCGAGCGTGAGGACGCGGATGTCCTCCTGCACCACGTCCTTGCTCGTCGGGCGCCAGAAGGGTACGGGCTTTCCCAGTTGGCTGTAGATGCTCATGGCGCATTGCTCGGTGCAGACCTGCGGCAGCTTGACGACGACGGGCACGAAGGTGGTGTGCGTGGGCCAGGCGATCTTGATGATCCTGTCGGGCTCGCCCCACATGGTGCGGAGCTCGTCTGCATCGGGGGCCGCGCCTTTGCTGGGCAGTACCTCGACTCGGGGGAGGGCGTGGCGACCACGGCCACGGAGACGGCGCGCCTGGCGGACGAGGTCGGTGAGGATGGTGCAGAACGCCGCGTCGAAGAGGATGTGGGCGCCGGGAAACGGCATCGAGACCCTCTTGCGGGGCCAAGGAGGCGCCAGTCGACGCTCGCCAGAAGCGCGGTCGAAGAGGTAGAGGTCCGGCGCAGGCCGGCTGCCGGCGTTCTCAAAGGGCAGGACGCCCTCGAAATCGAGGTGGGCGCGGAGCGAGGAGGGACCGCGGTCGGAAGCCAGAAGGACTTTGTCCAGATCAGGCCGACGCAGTTGCTGCTTCATCTCTTCCACGCTTGGTCTCGCTGTGTTCGGATAGGCAGACGCGGCATGGGCGGCAGCGTCGAGCGCGGCCTGTGTCTCTGCATTGGGCGTGTAGGCGAACATGGCGATATAGGTGCGGGACGGCGTGCAGCCCGAAAGTGAGCGGTGCGCTTGCGGGCGATGGTCGCGTGGTAGAGTAGCGATGCCGAGGGGGAGGCCGAAGGAAGAGGACCGAGGAGACGACGAGAGGGAGGAAGTGAGGAGGCGGAGGAGAAGCCGGGAGTTAGGATTCACCTGGTTGTCGGCGCAAGGAGAGGTGGCGGGCTTTTCCGGAGGTGGCGGCGGGTGGCAAAGAAAGGGCGCGCGCAGGCGGGGCGTGGAGCATGCGGGGCACAGCAGGGCCCAGTCAGCCGCAGACTCACGACGCGGCGGCGAGGCGCGCCTCTGCCAAGGGCACGGACCCCCGCGGGCTGAGAAGGGCGAGACCCACCCCTCAAGGGCACAACCAAGGCCCAAGGGCAGCCAAAGAGTCGCCCACCAGCCTGCTACGCACGGGTCCGTCCAGACAGGCTCAACAGGCCGGGTTGCGCCCAAGCCCGGCGACGAGGTCGGGCTCAACTGGTCAGGCGTCAGGCTTGCCCATCGTGGACGACGCTTGGCTCGCTGCCCAGCGGTCCTCCTTTTTCAAGATCATCCTGCCTGGATCGCAAGCCATGACCGCCAAGGCCTCACATCGTCTGGAGCGACTACCGCCTAGGGACGGAGAGAACTTTCAAGCACACGGTCCGCTCGTGGAAGGGTGTTCGCGCACAGGAAGTCGGGGCGAGAGCAGCAAAGGCTCGAGTCGCTCGCACGGCCAGCAAGCTGGGATGGGGCGGACGCAACGCCGCACACGAGCCTGCCACGTCTCCGCGTCGCGCGTCCCGTCGATGCCTACCTAGGGCCACTCGAAGAAAGGGTTTTCGACCTTGACCACCATCCGGCCGATGACGATCCACTTTGGCTTGCCTTGATCGGGCGGTCCTCGATAGTAGGCGACGACGGGATGCTCGGGGTTGGCCCACGGTCGGGACCGGAACGCCTTTTCCCCACCGCGACCGGTGTGGACGTGGATGCGGTAGTCGCCGACGGGGAAGTCCTGCATCGGCCATGTGAGGCCGTGGAAGGCGCCCGGCGACATGCTGGCGTCGGGGCCGCCCGTGTACCTCCTCACCACCTGCATCACGTTGGCCAACGCGTTGTAGTCCCGCACCACGTCGATCTCGACCCGCCCGAACCGCCTCCAGCCATCGGGGAAGTCGTACTCGGTGATCCTCGAGTAGGCCAGACGGATTCGGTAGATGGTCGTGAGCCAGGACCGGAGCTCGTCGCCGCCGATGCCAACCAGGTCCGGGCCCAAGTATCGAGCCTCGTACTCGCCCCGGCGGAGCAGGTCGATGCCCCGCTTCAGGAGCTCGTTCATACGGGCGGGCGATCGCGGGAGGATGTCTGCGGCCAAGGTCGGAGTCCGGAGCGTCGCTTGCTCGATGCCAGTCGATGAACCTGTGCCGGCATGTGATTGCAGAGGAGCGCGGTGCTGAAACGGTGCCAGATCCAGACCGTCAACCGGGCCTCGGTCGAAGCTGGGGCCGGACGCAAGGCTGCGTTCGTGTCGGTATGCTTCCGAGTCCTGCTGGATCGGCGTTGCGTACGCATGCTGAGCGGGAACGAGGCGATACGGATCCGATGCGTCGAAGTAGGCGGTAGAGGATCCGACGACACCATCATCGTGGATAGCCGAGGGGACCGGTTCGCGGGTGGGCGAGAGCCGGTCGAGCTCTTCGAGGGCCGAGAGTTCAGGTGGCGTGGCCAAGGCCTTGGTCGACGGCAGCAGGCCGATGAGGGCTGTCAGAGCCCAGATGGCATACGCTGTGGCAAGCCGTGAGGGCGAACCTCGCCGACGTTGTATGGGCTGCATCTGGGAGACGTTTGATTCTTCGTGTTGGGTGGGCAGAGACGGAAGAAGGCGACAGCAAGCTGGGAGCGGCAGAGGATCGAAGGTGTGGCGAGACGAATGTGGATCGCAAGTGGCCGAGTAGGCGTTCGCGCGTTCTTATGTGCTCGCCCTCGAGAGCCGAGTCCGGATGCCCTTCCGTCCAGCCAACGAAAGACAGCGCCCAAGCTCCGAGGCATGTATGTATACGAGTCGGAAGGGATCCCGTCCGCTCCAGCTTCCGGTGCTCTGGATAGTCCCTCATTTGGCCCGGAGCGAGGCTAAGCCGCGGCACAAGGTGGGCTCGCCTCGATCATGTCACCACAGCCAGCCTCACCGATGCCACCTCGGAGCCTTTTCCCTACGGATCCATCACCGTGCTTCTGCATAATGATGAAGAGCGATGGAAATGAATGGGGGCCGAAGCCGACGTCATCGGATCATTGATTAATGAGGATGCTGTGGACGCAAGACGACGGCCGGTCCTCGTTGGCGAGCGAGAAAATGCATGTCCTCGCCTCCTCGGTCGGAGCGGCTCCACTACCAGTCCGCCGTCGATGCCTCAGGCGCCGGCGCCGATGCCTCGAGCGGCGTGCTGTGCAGCCGGGCATCACGACGAGCGGCCTCGACCTTGCCAATGAAAATCCACCGGGGCCTTGGCGGGTCGGTAGGCGGACCTTGGTAGTAGGCGATGACGGGGTGGTCGTTGAGCCACGCCCTGAGCCTGTACCCCGTCTCGCCTCCACGGCCAGGATGGGCGTGGATGTGGTATTCGCCGATGCGGAAGTCCTGCATTGGCCAGGTGAGGTCGTGGAAAGCGCTGCCAGACACGCTGCCAGCGTTGTCGGGCTCAAAGTCCCTCACCAGCGACAGCCTTCTCCAGAGGGCCTTGTCGTCGGGCACCACGGTGATCTTGACCGCCCCATGCCTGATCCAGCCATCTGGGCTTTCGTAGGTCATGATCCTCGAATAGACCAGGCGGATGCGGTAGATCCGTGTGAGCCACTGCCGCAGCTCTTGCCCGCCGATACCGACGAGTTGTTTGGCCACGACTCGGGTCGGGGCTTCGAGCAGCAGCCGTTGCCCTTCTTCCAGCAGCGCGTTCATCTGAGCGGGGGACCTCGGCAGGAAGTCTTGGGTCTGGACCCGCAGCGCAGCTGGGTCGACGTCTGCCCGGGAGCCTCCTCCCGGCTGTGTGAAGGCGCGAGGACGGTCGCGGTACGCGGCGGCGTCCAGGTCCAACACTGTGCTTGCACTGTGAAGCAGCGGTTCGGCCTCATCTTCCGCGGCGCCAGCCAAGGCGTTCATGTTGAAGCCGGGAAACGCCTGGGGCATAGGAGGCGCGGCCGATACGCTCGCCGGCATCAGGGTGATGGTCGGGATGGCCCAGGCTGCCAGTATCGAGATGGCAAGCTGGCCGAGCAGGCCATGATGGGGGCGGATCTGCATGGTCGACTCGAGCCTGGAGCGCCACGTAGGGTTGGGCTGGCGTGATGGCGCGAGAGAGCGGCAGCCGAGGGCTTGGGCAGCCACTCTATGCCGAGAAAAGGAGCGTTGGAAAAAGGGATCTGGTGACAGAGTTTGCGGGCGCAGGGATACGGTCGAGGGTCGATGGACGGGATCGATGGAGAAGTCAGCAGGCCGATGTCGACACACCTCGCTCGCGAAGAATTTATGCCTTCGTGCAGGCGCTGTGGTGGCCTCTTATCGATTAGGAGCCTACATTAACTGGCTTGCACCTTCTTCGCGGCGATTCAATCATCTTGCGGCTTTCGGCTGCGGCGCCGAAGCCGCCACGACGTTGCGCCGACCTCGGGGCGTCCCGGCCCCGTTCTGCACGGTGTGGACGTTTGCAGCGACGTCGAGCCGCGGCTCATCAGCTGTCCCCGCAAGGCAGAGGCTGACGAGCCGGTATAACTTTGCCCTTGGAGCCAACCGGTCGATTCAGGGGCAGGATTCTTCGATACAGCTATGTAGCTACATACAAACCAACCTGCAATTCGCCGAGCTGACAAGGAGAATGGCAACGTTTCGGGCGGGACAGAGGAAGCGGCCAGGGCACGGCAGGGAAAGATCGCAAGAGCTTCCGTCAAGCCCCTCACAGCTGTCCAGGCTCTGGCGAGCTAGGTGCAGGGGGCAGCGGGCGCCTCGTCACTTTGACGTTGCCGACAAATACCCACTCGAGCAGCGAGGACTCCCTGGAGCCCGCTGGAGCATCGGGACCATCAGAGGGTTGGCGCTGGCGGTAGGCGACGACGGGGTGGTCCTCGTCCATCGGCCTGTTTCGGAACGTTTCGACGCCCATGCGCCCGGGAAGGACGCGGACGCGGAAGCCGCCGACGGCGAAATCCTGGAACGGCCAGGGGGCGCCGTCAAAGGGACCCGTCTCGTCTTCGTCGAGCGGGTGGTTCCTAAGCCTGGGACCCTCCCGCGTACGGTAGCTTTGCAGGAACCTGAGAATTTGCGGTTTGGTCCTGTCTGCTGGCAACACTTCGATGTCGAGGGCGTCGTACATCTTCCAGCCCCATGGGCCTTCGTCCTGCATGATCCCCGACGAGCGCTGGCGGATGCGGTAGATCCTCGTGAGCCAGGCTCGCAGCTCGTCATTGCCGAGGCCAAAGACCTTGCTCCTGCCGAGCCGCTCGCTTGTCTCACGCAGCAGCCTGGCGCCGCGTGCGAGCAGCTCCTGCTTCTGAGGCGCGGATAGCGGCCTGATCTCGTCGACGGCACCGGACGGCTCTGCTCGCTCTCTGCTGGTCGATTGCGGCACGACGCTGCCTCCAGAGTCGAATATGGGCACTGCTCCTTCCTCGTTTGCGGCAGAAGCGCCCTCGTCTGCTTGCGGTCCCGGGAAGAGGTGGTCACGGTAGAGTATCAGAGTGACCGAGTCGCCCGCGCGGAGGCTTTCTGCAGGTGTGAAGTCGTATTGAACATGTTCGGCCCTCCAGTCCGGATGGATAGGGGTGAGGTACTCGTATCGAGGGAAGCTTTGGCGGGGGTCCGCTTGCGAGGGACGGACATGGGTGGCTAAGATCGGCTGAACGCCGTCCAGGGCCGCATTGGAGGCTGACGTTGCGGCCTCGTCGGCCACTGCTTCGCCCGCTGCAGTGGCCTCCGCGAGCCTGCCGAGGCCATCAAAGCCCGGCCGAACGGGGGGTGTCGCCAACGTCGTCGAAGTCAGCAGATTGAGGGTCACGGCTGTCGACAAGACGAAGGCGGCCGTGCGCAAGCAGGCCGATCGCCTCTGGTGCAGTCCAACTCGCATGGCAAAAGATGGGCCGCGATATCGTAGGCGACTTTGTCTGGGTGCTGGAAAGAAGGAGCGGTGTCGTAGATGTCGAACGAGGACAGCTTGGAGGGAGGAAAGGTCGGACGGCAGAAGCAGTCACGCTCGTCCCTTTTCTATGCTTCACATCGGCAGCGGCAAAGACACCAGTTAGGTCTACCTCGTGCTGCAGGCGGTACCTCGCGACAAACGAGTTCGAGCAGGCTTTCGGCGGAAGTACCGTCCGTGCCCTCGTCGGGGCGATGCTGAACGCCACCGGTGCCAGCCATCCTTCGTCGAGATGGGTGCAGCCTTCGTCTTGCGTTCATGGGTCTCCGCTCTTCTTTCAGAGTGTAACTTGATGGAGCGCAAGGGAGGCGGATCGAACGGCTCTCAAGACGGTCGGCCGACGAATGGTGCGCAGCGCAAAGGCGGGAAGCCGTTAGCTAGCGCCCGGTCGGCCGTCAGGACTGCCTGCTGAGACAAGCTCGCTTTTTTTTTTGTCTTTGGTGGGACACGGCCGTGCCTGAAACGTTCCGGCTTGACGGCGACACGAGGCAAAAGTTAGGGTGCTCGATGGATGCTGGACGGAGATGGATCGAGCGGGTGGAGAAGGCCCGCTGGCGTCGAGCTCAAAGGAGCGGGTCGGCCGCAGCCCTTCGCAAGGTTTGCGCCTCAGAAATTCGAGGCGCCAGCTGGGCCCGAACCGTCCCCGAAGTTTCCACCGTCAACTCATCTCGACGTCTTGCGCCACCCTTCCCATGTCGAGCTGCTTCAACTTGGTTGGAAGGACTTCTGAAAGAGTGTCGTATTTCAGGCTGAGATCCTACGGCAGATGCCTCATGGTCGACGAGCCTGGTACGACAGCAGAGCAAAGCACCCAGGAGGAGGCCTCAATCGGGCTACGATGGGAGGCGATGGAGAAGCTGCGCTACGGCGAGACCGAAGATCAGAAGAAGAAGTTGCCCTGGGCGAGCTGCTCGTCGGGACGGAGGATGCGAGGCTCCTCGGTCGGGATCCTCTGCTGGATCCTGAGCGTCCCGATAGCGATGCGGCCCGGGGCGCCTCCGGTGGGCAGTGCGACGACGTTGTACGAGCGACCTTCGGGGCTGACGACGACGTTGCCGCCGCGGCGCACGAGGACCTCGATGCGGTAGTCGCCCACCTGGAAGTCGGCGAACGGATCGTCGACGACGTCAAACGCACCGCGCTCCGCCGGCTGCACCCGCACGCCCTGGCGCTTGGCGTGCATGTTGGTGGAAGTGTGGACCGCCTGCGGACCGCGCGCGTCCTCGATCACCTCGATGTCGACCAGAGCCCAGATGCTGCGCGGATGGCGCGTGCGCACGAGCTCCAGCCGGATGGCGAGGACGTCCTGGAGCCAGCGCCGCAGCGTGGCGTCGCCAATCGTCGCGAGCTTCTCTCTGCCCGCTCGGTAAAGGCTGAAGTCGAGCAGCTCGCCGCCTTCCCAAAGCAGGTACTCGGGTGTAGGGTGCAGGGGGCGGCTCGAGAGCATCTGCTCGATGCGACCAACGCGCTCTTCAAAGGCGGCTTGATCGGCGTGGCTCATAGGTGCTTGATGCTTCCTCTGCTTGCGTCGAGGCCGAGTTTCGCCTTCCGATGGCTTTCGTGGAGCGCGATCGGGACGCTGCGGGACGTCGACGGCGGACCGAAGCTCAGCAGGCGCCTGGTGTCCACTGAAAGGGTCGGACTGCGAAGCTAGAGCGGCATCAGGCCACACGACCGAGGGTTGTCCTTGGGACGATGAAGCGAATCGCGAAGGTCCAAGAACGTGCGGCTGAGCGTCGTACAGCGGAGGAGAGGCGTGGGAAGAGGCGACGTCTGCCCACGTCGAGGAAGGGTCGGGCTGCTGGCGCGAGGTATCGTAGGGGTAGCCATACTGAGGGGCCGGATGGTAGACGCCTTGCTGGCGGTGCGCGCCGTATGGCCCTGCCTCGTGGAAGACGTGGACGTCATTCGACGTCGGATGATGCGCTTGTTCAGGGCTGTAGGGGTGCGGTCCCCAGAACTGCCCCGGCTGGACATGATGGTAGACGGCTTCCTGAGCAGGTTGGGCAGCCGGGCTGGACGAGGCCATGCCATAGCCGAAGGCGCTCGGCTGCGCCTGCAAAGTCACATCCGGGCTCGACCGAGCATGCCCAAAGATCGGACTCAGCTCATCCATGACGTCGCGGACCGGCTGAGGGTGCCCGAAGAGGCGGCTGAAATCGGCGACGCCCGCAGGTGCAGCATCGGCGATCTGTAGCAGAGCGAGGGCAGTGGCCCAGATGGCTATGACGACCAGAGCGGCCGATGCCGTCTGACCTTGGGGACAGGGGAGTCGCATGTAGAGGTGAGGAACGGGCTGGAAGATCTTGATCGGATTTGAGGAGGGGGGAGGACATTGGGGTTTGGGGGTGGGCTTTCGGCTCACCTCGATCAGGCCCTCACTTATACAACGAAGGCCGCGAAATGCGTACGGATCTCGCGTGGCAGCACGGAGGCGATCGAATGACGATTCCCCCATGAAGAAAGATGATGGGGCTATGTATCAGAGATGCAAGAGCATGACCACCCACCCGGCTGCACGTGGGCGTACCGTGGGCTGATGCCGGGGCTCGTTTTCGCTGAGCCTCGATGAGGGGCATCATGACCATCGGGCCACACCCACGACGGTTCACGCGAGCTGACGGAGAACACGCAGGTGCCTACCCTATTGTCTGGAAGGAGCACGTCGGGGCGATGTGCTGATGAGCTCTCCCGGTCACACGTTCGCCGTTGAAATGAGGTGAACTCTCGATGATTCCGAGTCGAGCCTGCGAAAGTCGAGTCGAGGCGTGCCCTCTGAATCGCGACCCGCAAGCGAAGCGCGGGTATGAGGAGAAGGAAGAGTACGGCACAGAGAGGGAGCGTCGTACAGGGTCGGAGCAGGGACGATGACCAAAACGAGGTTACGGGGCGGGGGGCAAAGGGCCATGACCTGGCGACGTGTGCCACGTTCTGGTCGTGACCGAGGCCAGGCATCGATCTATCGAGTCTGCTCAACGACGTCTGCCGGTTCGCGCTGGATCTTGAGCCTGCCGATGGCGATGTTGCCCTCGGTGTCTCCGGTAGGCATGGCGATGACGTTGTAGAAGGCGGGCTCGTCCTCGACCGAGACGTGCTTCTTGTTCTTGGGGCTGATGATCCGGAGGCGGTAGGTGCCCACCTGAAAGTCGGCAAAGGGGTCGACGACGTCCTCAAACGAGCCCTTGGCGGCAGGCGGGATCAGACCCGGCCGGTGAAACATGTACGTGCCCGTCTTCATGTTGGTGGTCCTCCGGTTGGACGGGTACGGGACGATCTCGACGCGAGCCTGGTCCCAGACGTTCCAGCGCCGCGAGGCTTCCTTGATGCGGATGTCCATCACGTCCTGCAGCCACTGTCGCAGCGCGTCGTCGCCAATCGTGTTGACCATCTCCTTGCCGCGTCTGAGCCGGTCGAAGCGGAGCAGGTGCTGGCCTTCCTCGAGCAGGAACTGGGTGCTGGGGCTCCGAGAGCGCGAGGCGCCGGCTTGGACGACAGGTTGTGCGAGCTGCATGACTCCGCGTGGACCAAACTCGGGCGCAGGTGGTGGGGATGGGTGCGACGCCGGTTGGAATCGGTCGTGCGCCTCGGCCACGGCAGGTCGACCGTGGACGTGCTGAGGAGTCTCGATTCCGGGAGGCGGGCGAGCGGGACGAGTACCGCGCAGGATCTCCGGCAGGTCATGGCCCGACGACTGGCCGGCATCGATCCACGGACGCAGACTGTGCGGCGGCGACGAGAGGGAAGGCATCGAGAAGCCGGCCAGGAGCGCCTGGAGCTCGTCGTGGTCGTCGGACGGGTGCGCGCCTTGCCACGAGGAGTCGGGGTCGTGGAGCAAGTACGAGTCACTGGGCTGGTGTCCGTACGGGCTCGGCGGGTGGCTGATGCCCTGCGGAGGGAACGCCTGGTACCCATCTGCGCCGTGGTGGACCTGCTGGTCGCCCCGGTAGTGTCCTTCGTCGAAAGGATGGTGGTACTGGATCTGCGGACGGTACTGCTCGGTGGGCTGGTGGGCGACTGGGCTAGCGGGGTGCGCCGCGAATACGGAGGGGCCGAGGGCGGGGGTGGCGCTGGGCTGATGCTGCCAGGTGTCGGAACGAGGCTGAGCGTGTCCAAACACATGGCTGAGCTCGTCGTAGGCGGATGCGGGTTTGGGATGCGCGAAGATCTGGCTGAGCTCATCGAAGCCCGGTCCAAGCGGTGCGGCAACGGCAGCCGAAAGGAAAAGCGACAGGCCTACGGCCACGGCGCCGGCTGCCTGGCGCTGACTGAAACGCATGTCGAGGCTAGGAGCGAGGCGAGGGGGAGTGAGTGGCGCAGAGGGGAAAGAGAACGCGTGGCGAGATGGACAGCCTGCTCGTGGCTGCGAAGACCTAGACCTGGCCCCCTACTTATGTAAATTTCTGGATTTGACCGCCAACTGCAATCATGTTTAGATCGACTCAATTTCAGAGACGGCCGTATACCGCCCCGAGGCTCGCAGCGACGCGGGCCAGCGAAGATGGACCGGCGATTTCATCTCAGCTCCGTTCCGGCCAAACGTTGGGCTCGGTGGTTGCCGCGGCTGATTTTGCATCTCTGTGCTGCAATCGAGCGCCAGGTCCGGGGCTAAGGCTCCCCACTTTGCCTTTGATCAGCTGTGCGTTTCTCGGGCCAAGGGCAAGACACAGATAGAGGTACATGTAGCTGTCAAGACGGTGATCCCTTCAATCGGCAATGTTCACCGGAGAGATGACCGGAGGGGGGCCCACGGAAGGTACAAGGACGAGAATACCGGTCGGCGATCTGCGCGCAAAGAGGCTTGTTTGTCGAGGTCAAGGCGTCGGTCGACGTGGCGGGCCCTCACGCGTCAGACTTGGTGAGCACGACCCTGCCCATGGCAATGGAGCCCTCCCAGGACGAGAGGGGCATGGCGAGGACGGTGTACCTGACCTCGGGCGGGTCAAAGCCTACGGGTCCAGGTACATGTCGCACAGCGACAATCTGGTGCTGACCGACCTGAAACGGACTCAGGGGATCGAAGATGCGTTCAAAGGCAGCGGGACTGGGCGATCCGTGGCCGCGCACCTTTGCCGACAAGGACGCATCGCGCAGGAGGTTGCCAGGCAGTCGTCTGTCGACGACGACCTCGATGCGGTAACTGTGCCATCTCTCGTACACTGCAAGTTCGTTGCGCAGCGTGTAGACCCGTTCGAGCCACTGCCGCAGCTCTCGCCCGGCGATCGAGACCTGGTACTTGTCCGAGCTTTTGCGCGGGCCGTGGTCGAGCAGCTCGATGCCGCGGAGCACCAAGCTCTCTTGCTCGGCCGCCAGTGCTTGCAGACCGCCTGCGCCCGGGGAGGAGGGGTGCGCGGCCATTTGGCTAGGCTGAACGTCTTCGTCCTGGTACCGCCACGAATCGGGCTGCTGCTGGTGGTGGGTGGGTGAGGATGGAGCAGCGCTGTTCCACGCTTCGAGGCTGTGGGGTCGAGATGACGTCTCAGACGCAGGGAGGTGCGGCATGAGCGAAGGGTGATTGCCCAGCTCAGCATACGCGTCGAAGTGGTGGAGTGGACCCGGCTGGCCGTAGGCGTCGGGCTGGAAATGGCCAGAGGAGACGAGGGCATCCTGCCAATGGTCCGAGGCTTGAGGCTGATGCCAGCCGTCGAGGCCGAGGGAGTACGAGCTTGAGGGCAAGTGCTGAGGTGTCGGGTGGGTCAGGCTCGAGGCAGGGGCAGCGTCGAGGAGCTCGTGCGGCACCTCATGGGCCGGTTGGAAACGGCCCAAGGCTTGGCCCAGCTCGTCATAGAAGAATCCGGGCGGCGCAGCAGCGACGGGTCGTGGACCGAGCAGCGTGGCGGCGATGGCCATGCCGGCGAGCACGGCGAGCCAAGTCGGCCGTCCGCCGTGCCTGATGATGGCTAGCATCGCGACGAGTTGAGGGGGGAGGAGGGGCAGGTGGCGATGAGATGCAGGGGAGGGTTTGAGGTGAGGCTCTGCGAACAGGACAGACGGGGAGGGCGAACCTAAATATGTATGTACTGAAGCCTTCGAGCGAGTCGAGTCGAATCGAGCAGAGGGGCAACATCGATGCTGGACCCCGAAGATGAAAGGCTCGAGGCAGCACCGGGGCGTAGCATCGCAATTGAGCCCAGTGCGTGGGCGCAAATCTTGGCTCGTGTGGCACAATACGGCCGTATGTCGTTGATCGATCGGACGGCCTCGGCCGCGGGACGGTGCTGCCAGAGGGCACGAGCGCAATCATGGTCATCAGAGAGGAGCGAGGTGGGGCGAGGCGGGGCGAGGCGGGGCGAGGCAGGTCGAGGGGAAGGGGGAAAGCTACAGCAGGGCGCGCTCACCTTTTTGGCAGACTTGGCAGACCCCTCTACCCTCGCGACCAGCTCACTGCTCTGTCCAGAGTACCTCGGCGGGCCGGCACGACATGACGCTTGAGCCGAGAGCGTCGCACGTATCGGAATCTGTACCGCCAAGGAGGGTTCGCCGTCCAAGGCTCGCACTTCTCTCCGAGTCTCGCTACGCTCCGTAACCCCTCTCTCTCCACGCTCTTCGTGGCGATTTCTCGGCGAGCTTGCACCACACATGTAGGCACAAGAGGCAGGTGCGGTAGCGCAACGCATAGGTGACCCTGGAACACAACACATGATGAAACGGCGGTCCCTGATGGGAGCCAGACCGGACGGAATACGGTGGGGGAAAGATTCGGCGATTGCAGGAGCCGGAACAGCTCGAGAGGAGCCCGCCGCAGCGAGGCAGCGCCACGACCGAGGTCCCTCCTTCACGCCGCGGTCTTGGTGAGCACGAGCTTGCCCAGGGCGATCGAGCCCTCCCAGGACGCACGCGGGATGGCCATCACGCTGTACCTGACCTTTGCCAGGTCGGCGCCTGCCGGTTTCCAGGTGTGGCCGATTACGACGATCTGGTGCTGGCCGATCTGGAAGTCGTTTAACGGGTCGAGCACATCTGCAAAGGCACCGGGACTGGGCGACCCCTGGCCACGCAACTTGGCCGAAACGCTCGTGTCCCGAAGCAAGTTGCCCGGCGATCGACTGTCGGCGACCACCTTGACGTCGTAGCCCTTCCACCTCGGGCTGGCCGCCAACCTGTTGCGCACGCTGTAGACTTGCTCGAGCCAATGCTGCAGCTCGAGGCCCGCCATGCCGGTGCGGTACCTTTTCGACGTCCTGGACACGCCGTGCTCGAGAAGGTAGACGCCCTGCTCCTGCAGGCGGTCCTGCTCCGCGTCTAGCGATGCCTGCGCGGCGCGGCTCGCCTCGACCGGTCGCGCAGGGCCGTGTTCGGGCGGGGCAGAGCCGGCCACGTCCGCATGGGCCCACTGTGGTGAATGCTGGGAGTGCAGAGGCGCGTCCATGTCGGCATGCATGGCCTGCTGCATTTCGACCTGGGTAGTTCCTGGCCACTGGAAAGGAGAGCTGGGCAGATCACGAGACCAATCGACGGCTTCAGGATGTTGCACGGCGGCATCTCGGTGGGCTTCTGAGTTGTGATGGGGCGAGGACGGAGGCGTGGTATGCCATGCATCAGGGCTGTAGTATCGTGGCGAAGCGGCGCCCGCAGACACGTGCGGCACCAGCCACGGGTGGCTGCCCAGCTCAGCATAGGCATCGAGGTGGTCGAGGGGGACCGTCTCGTCGCGGGGGCCAGGGTGTGCACCAGCAGAGAAGCCGATGGAATGGTACCAGGGATCCGAGCCGCGGGGCTGTTGCGGGCTGTCGAGGGCGAAAGAGTAGGGGTCAGACGGCGCGTGCTGTTGCTGCAGCTGTTGGGCGGCGGGCGGCGGTGGGTGAGCCAGGTTGGACGCGGTGTCGCGATCAACCTGGGGCGTGCCCGGTCGGAAGCGTCCGAGGGCTGCGCCGAGCTCATCCATCAAGGGCCAGGTGGGTGCAGCGGCAGCCGGTTGCGGGCCTGACGTAGCGAGGAAGACGACGGTGACACCAGCGACGGCGGCCATGGCCAGGCGGGCCAGCAGGCCACGCCGAAGAAGGGTGCGCATCCGGTGGAAAGGCGGGCGGGGAGTCGGACAGGGACTAGAGACGGCAAGGGAGAGGCCGAGAAGCGGGCAAGCGGGAGACATACGAGGGTGACATGCCTGTGGCGATGGGACCCGAGGGATTGCTGCCCATTTTGTAGGCCTCGAGGGAGCCAGAGTTCTTGGCGACGCTTCCCAGAGAGAGAGAGGTGTGGCGCGCATAGGTCAAGAAAAGGTGCGGACGGCGCCGCAGGCTGAAGCAGCCTCTGTTGAAAGGCCGTGGGTCATCTCTGTAGTGTCCCGACGGTCGAGGCACGACTTGCCATTCCGAGTGGCCGCGGGACGGAGGCGCACCATCGACGCTAGATCGAGGTCCTTGTTCAGGCGGGGCGCAGTCGTGGGCTGGCGTCGGTGTGCGTTCGGGCGACGGCACAAGCTCAGGAACTGAAGCAGAGTGTGGCGCTGGCGTGCGCGAGGCCGCTCCGAGTCGAGCTGGATGGCAGCAGGCTTGGCTTGGAAACGACGATTGGCGTGCCATATGAAGGGCTGTGGTGCCCGGTTTGGTGGCGGTGGTGGCCGTCAGAGAGGGGCGGGCCTCTGCCTGGCCCGACTGAGCGCACTAACTGATGGACAGCCGGCGAGGCGAGGCGTCCGGCCTGGCCTGGCCTGAATGCTCGCCCCATGTGACGTTGGTGGGGTCGGTGTGGCCCCTGCTCGCCCGATGTGACGTTGTTCGGTGTGGCCGCTGACCGCCCGATGTGACGGAAGCAAGCAAGGTGGAGGAGGAGGCCAGAGAGGCAAGGCAGGCTAGGGTCCAGCGACGCCGCCTGGTCGCCTGCGATGAAGTCACTCGACGCGGGCCGCGCTGAGCTGGGCAGGCAGGCAGGCAGCCAGGCAGCCAGGCAGCCAGGCTGGCGGGGAGCTGACGGGCTGGCGGGCTCAGGCGCTGACGGGCTGAGCTCACCTTAGCTTTCCGGCAGTCTCGCTTCTCCCTCTGCCAGACTCTGACTTCCATCATCGTCGTCCTTCGTCGCCGCCTCTTCGTTTCCAAAAGCAGCCATCCATCGACCGCGACCGCCAGCCGCCGATTAGCCAATCCTCTCACGCCTGCTTCCCGTGCCTTCCGACCCCATACGTACGCCCCTCGATCCTCCTTTCTTAAAACCCTCTACCAGCCAACATGGCTTCCACTGCTCCCACCACCGCCACCACCATCCATACCACCACCACCGATATCGCTGCCACCGACCGCGCCCCCGCCCTCGGCCCGGCAACCCGTCGCCCGCCATGAACGTGCACGCCACACGCTCCCTCTTTGAACCCAACCCGGCGACGCGGCCCCTCCCCGTGTGGGCCGCCGCCGTGCCCCCGCTGGCCTACTATGCCGCCCTCTTTCTCCTCCCGCCCCTGCCAAAGACGGTGGCCCGCCCGCTGCGCCGCCTGGCCACCCTGGTCCGCTTCGGCCTCGCCGCGCTCTCGGCCTACACCTTTGCCGTGCTGCCCCTCCGTTACTACTACCCGGGCAGCGCCGTCCTCACCTACCAGCTCGGCCTGGTCGGCTGGTACGGCGCCGGCAGGGTCATCGACGTCTTTTTCCTCTCCTACCCGCGCGTCCCCAGCCGCATCGTCATCAGCAGCACCTCGGACGCCGCCGGCCAAAAGGGCAAGGGCACCGGTGTCTCGCACCCGTACCCGGCCGGCCCCAACGAGACCTGGAAGCTCGAGCCCCACCCGCGCGGCCTCTTCACCTTTGAGCGCGCCTGGTGGGCCCTCGACCTTCTGATTAGCATGCGCGGCGTCGGCTGGGACTTTGCCAGCGCCGACGTCCGCCACGACAGCCACCCCTGGCAGCCCCCCTCGAGCGCACAGCTGCGCCGCGCCCTTGTCAAGCTGCTCCCCGTCCTCCTCGGCTGCATCTTTACCATGCACACCCTCCACCCGGCCCACACCGAGGCCCTCAACCCATCCATCACCGACCTCTCGACGCCCGCAAGGGTCGCCTTTGTCGCCGCCACGGGCATCTCGCTCTACACCCTCTTCGACTTTGGCTACACGCTCAGCAGCGCCGTCGCCCTCCCCGTCATGGCCGACGTCGCCGTGCAGCAGGCGCAGCGCCGGCTCCGTAAGCGCTCGCGCAAGGCCGGACTCGCGGCCAAGCCGGGTCGCAGGGACCGCATTCGCCAGGTCATGGCCGACGCCACGCCCCAAGACACCGAGACCGAGACCGAGGCCGAGGGCGACGATGCCGACGACACCGCCGTGGGTGCCGCTGCCGGCGGTGGACAGCACAAGCCGCCGTCGCTGCTGCAGTCGAGTCCGCAAACCCACGAGCAGCTGTCGCTGCGCAACGTCGACTTTTTCCCGCTCCTCAACCCGGCCGGGCTGACGCAGGCGACGACGGTGCGCCGCTTCTGGTCGTTTGCGTGGCACCGGCTGTTTGGGCGCTTCTTTGGCGTCTACGGCATCCTGCCCTTTACCTACGCCGCCTACCTGGTCGAGGACGTGGTGCAGGGCAAGCTATGGGACGCCGAGCGGGTGCGGGCGCGGCGCGAGGTGTGGCCGAGCTACCACGCCGACCCGATGCGCTCGCTGCAGCGCGGGCGCGCCGACTGGGCAAAGGTGCTGGGCGCTTTCACGGCCAGCGGCATCATCCACGGCGTGTCGGAGCGTGCGGCGCTGGGCGGGCGGGTGGCGGTGCCGCCGACCAACGTGTGGCTGCCCAAGGACCACGCCCGGGGCATGGGCCACGAGCTGCGCGCCGGCATGGCGGCCCAAAGCGGCGTGTGGGGCGTGCTGGCGCGGCTGTCGCCCATGCGCCTGGCGCCGCCCGTGTCGGGAGGGGGCGAGTTTAGCTTTTTTGTGCTCAACGGCGTGGCCGTCATCGTCGAGGGTGCCGTTGCGCGGTACGTGACGCAGCGGCGCAAGCGGCGCAACGGGGGCGAGACGTACGCGATGTGGTACGACCGGCCGGTCGGCATCGCGTGGACGCTCACCGTGCTGCTGTATACGGGCCAGCTGTTTGTTGAGGGCTGGATCCGCAGCGGCATCTCCAAGGAGCTGGGCCTGATTGTCGATTGACGGCGGGTGAGACGGTGATGCACAGCCTAGCGCTCTAGTCTAGAGGGGTGCCTCTGAAAGAGGCGTCGCTCGATGTGGAGTGCCATGTGATTGATCTACTGCTGCCGTTGTCGCGTTCAGCGAGGCGAGGCAATCGCGTGTGTGCGAGCCTGATGGGGCGGTCAAGCGGTGAGTGGGTTCGGGTATCGTCTATTGATTGCGCTGACCGGTCAAGCGGGAGGTCGAGGGCTGGGGCTACAGGGTGCCTGGCAACGCTACTTGTCCTTCTTGGCCTCGCCTGCAGTCGTAGTCTTGGTCGTTGCAGTTCTCGAGGGGGCAGCGTCGTCTTTGTCCTCGAGGAAAGCGGATACGATGTAGGCGACGAGTACGATGTTGACGACGATGGCGGCTAGACCGCCTGCGTAGGTCGCGTTACCTGTTGGGTGTCGACCAAGGGGAAGCAAACGGGATGAGGGCGGTGGTCACGTTGCGAAACAGCCGGGAGGAGGGGAGGGGGGGCCAAAGGGGGTTACTTACCGTCGAGCCAACGATCTTTGGCGAGGAAGAATGCACTTAGCGGCGCGACAAAGAGGGTGATTGAAAAGACGAGGAACTTGATGTATACCCGTCTGTGCAGTGCGGGAGGGCAAGGGACACAGAGGTGTGAGCGCGGTGCGAAGGGGCAAGGAGAGAGGAGGCGAGGGGAAGCAAGGAGATAGATGCTCACTGCGCCGGATCCTTGCCCCTCGGTGCTACCTTTGAAGGTGATACGTCGAGTTGGCTTGGCATTGCTGCGTTTGTTCTGTGGACGAGGAAGGAGAAGCGGGTGGTGGCGGCGAGTGAAGGAGGAAGGGAGCGAGCAAGAGTCGACGGCTCGACAAGCGCCTCCCTCCACCTAGCCAACGCTGGCCTGACCGCGCAAAGGGGCCTTTGGGGGCAGACAGGCAGGCATACAGGCTGGCTGGCAGGCACGCAGGCAGACCGGCCTCTGCGGGCCACGGCGCAGGGCAGGAAAATCTTGGCCCAATCTTGAATGCCTTCGCTCTCTCTCCTCTCCGCCTCACCACCACCACCATCATCCACGGCCCGTCTCCCGCCCACCACGCGCGCTGCGATCGCCACCATGGCCGCAGTCGCTTCCAGCTCCAGCCGCGGACACACCGCAAAGGTGTGAGTATCCTCGCTTCTCTCGTTCTCGTCTCTGCCCACCTCGCTATCTCACGCCCGCTCACCATTCCTCTCGTCCTCCCTCTCTCCATCCCGCACAGCCTCACCATCGGACCTGCCTGCGGCCGCATAACAGAGCTCATCTCAAAGGTCACGGCCATCCAGTCAAAGCACGGGCCCTTTGCCTGCCTCCTCATCCTCGGCGACCTCTTCACTCCAAACGGCCCCCTCACCCAGCCAGAGCTCGACCTCCTCGCCGGCACCACCTGGCTCCCCATCCCCACCTACTTCTACCTCGGATCCGCACCCCTGCCCCACGAGGTGCAGCAAAAGGTCGATGCCGCATCGCACAGGCGCACACACGACGCCCCCTTCCAGATCGCCAACAACCTCTTCTACCTCGGCAAGTCGGGCGTCTGCCTCACCCCGCAGGGCTTCCGCATCGCTTTCTGCGGCGGCACATGGGACGCCACAAAGTGGGCAGAGAGCATGCGCAACGCTACCGAGGGGCACGGTCACGACCTCGACGCAGACAACGACAACGCCGACGACCAGACCTCGCCCTACATCACCACCCACGCCGTCCACCGCCTCCTCTCCCACCCGAGCTTCGCCCTCCCCAAGCCCGTCCCCGCCCAGACCGCCGCTTCGTCGTCGGCTGCCGCTCCGCAGACCCTCGCAGCCGCAAAGGCCCAGGCAAAAGCGGCGGCCGCATCCGCCGCAGTGGTCAGCGAAAACGCCGCGCTCCTCGACTCGCGGCCCCCGCTCGACTTTCTCCTCACAAACTACTGGCCCTCGGGCATCGCCCTCTTCTCCAACGCAGCGCTCCCCGACGACAGCGCACGCATCTGGGGCTGTGCGCCGCTCGCCAACATCGCCCGGGCCGGCGCGCCCCGCTACCACTTCGCCCTCGCGCCCGGTCCCGAAGATGACACGACCATTGTCGGGCTCGGCGACGAGGTGCGCCAGGTCGGCGCATTCTGGGAGCGCGAGCCGTACCAAAACGACCTCGGCCTCGTCCCTGCCAACGCCAACGGCCGCGACCAGGGCTGGGCGTCGAGGCAGCGTACCGACGCGGCCGCCGCCACAGAGCCCGTGACGAGGTTCATCAGCCTGGCACGCTTCGCCAATGCCAAAAAGGCGAGGTGGTTCATGGCGCTCAAGCTCGCGCCCGCATCGTCGCCATCGCCGCCACCGCCCAAGCCGGCCAACACGACGGCCTCGCCCTACTTTTCCGGCTCCATGGCAGGCGGTGCCGGCGGGGCCAAGAGGACGGCCGATGCGGCGGGCATTGGCAACGGCAACGGCAACGTCGAGGGCGGCGATCTTCCAGAGGCCGGGCCCAACTTCCGCTTCTCCCAGGACGCGCGCGGCAAGCGACGTCGCGTGGCGGGCGAGGAGCGAGACGACGGCCCGCCGCCGCCCGGATACAAGTGCCGGATCTGCGGGTCCGAGGAGCACTACATCCGGCTTTGTCCGCAAAAAGGACAGGGCAAGCCGGCGCGCGACGGCGACGGAGGCAATCGCGATGCAGCCTCTTCGACCAGCGGAGCCGGGGCCGGAGCGGGAGATGGAACGGGACCTCGACCGCCGCCGTCGATTCGCGCCTCGACGATCCTGCCGCCGGGTCTGGCCGGTCTGCCTTCGAAGCCCGCCTTTCTCCAGCGCGAGCGCCTGCTGCCGGTGGGGCCCGAGGACTGCTGGTTCTGCCTTTCCAACCCGCAGTGCGCCAAGCACCTGATCGTGTCGATCGGCGACGAAACCTACCTCGCCCTGCCCAAGGGTGCGCTGCCGTCGCCGACGACGACGTCGGTCCCGGGCGGGGGCCACGTGCTGATCGTGCCGATGTCGCACTTTGGCTCTCTCTTCGAGGCCGAGGATGCGGCCGTGGCGGACGAGACGATGCGCGAGACGCAGCGCGTCAAGGCGCGGCTGCGACGCTGCTTCCGCCGGTACGGCGCGACGATGGTGTGCTGGGAGATTGGCAAGAGCAGCCGGAGCGGGAGCCGCGTGGGGCACACCATGGTCCAGGCCGTCGCGGTTCCGTCGGAGATGGAGGCGAGGCTCGAAGAGGTGTTTGAGGAGCGCGCGGCCAAGAGCCGAATGGAGTTCATCAAGGACCCGCGCGCCGTCGATGCCTTTTTCCAGCGTGTCGGCGATGCTGCCGCCGCTGGTGGTGGTGGTGCGGCGAAGGAAGAGGCGGGCATCGACTACCTGGCCCTGGAATTGGGCGACGACAAAAAGTGGCTCCTCAAGATCGCGGCGGGTGGGAGGTTGGCCGTCCAGTTTGTTCGGTGCGTCTCCTTCTTCCCGCTTTCCCCCCCGGGGCGACATTTTGGTGGCGGTTCGGAAGCGATGGTGCGTAGACGATGCTGACGCCCCCGTTTCGTTTCTGCTTCCCCCTCATCACCGCCACGATGGATGATGCGAACAGACAAACGCTAGCGGCCCTCCTTGACATTCCGGATCGAGCAGACTGGAAGAGCTGCGTGCGATCCGAAGACGAAGAGAAATCCGACGTCCAGGCCGTACGTACCCGCCCCTCCCTCCTCTGCAATCTCTTCCTGTTCTGCAATTCTCTTGCGGCGGTTCGGAGTCGCCCATCCTCATCCGGCTGACACTCCTCTCCCTTCCCCTCCCCTCCCCTTTCCTTCCCTTTCCCTTGCGGACACGAATGGTCGCGCTGAAAACAGTTCAGAAACGCCCTCAACGCTTCCGACGAACAGCAGCAGGACGAATAGACTCGTCCCTTTCGCCGGCCGGCTCGGAATCGACAGACGAGGCTGAAGTGACGCACCAGGGGACCGCGATGCAGATGCGGATGCGGATCGCCTCTATGCGATGCGTTATCGACAACGCAGAGGAAAACGGGGCGGCCATGCTAGCATTAGGACGAGATTCGTGCGAGTGCGAGTGCGGGTGTAGGAGCGAAGACGACAAGGTAATGAACAGATCAGGTGCAGCGCATCCCACGCCACGCCTTGCCATCTCATGACGTGAAGTGGCGCGGCGTGAGGTCAGGGTCCGAAACCGACACGGATCTCTCGGCCTGGTAGCGACTACGGGAGAGCAAAGAAGCGGTCTGGCGCTCCCACACGGAGCCGCCAGGACCTGGGTCACGTCGTGTGGCGCAGCGCGCGTCTAGTTGATGTCGTTGAGACTGTCGGGCGCCTTTGCGCCGCCAGCGGCGTTCTTGGCGGGAGCCTCGGCGGCGGGCTGCGACTCGGCCGTCGCTTCGGGCGCGCGCGGTGCGGCGGGCTGCTGTGGGGCGCCAGGGAGGTTCTGAAGGGGCGGCGACGACAGGGCACGGTGTGCATGAGGATCAGATGGGGATCCATCGTTGGATTCGATCGGTCAGTACGGCCATCCATGGTCCAGACCTCGCCGGGAGGGCGCCGCTCGACTCACGGCAATGGCCTGCTGCCTCGCTCCGACGGCGGCCTTTTCCGACTTGAGCGCCTTTGCCGCCTTTTTCGACTTCTTCTCCTTCTTTGGCGGCGGCACGTCCCACGCCCAGAGCGGGATAAAGGAGTCGACGAAGCCGACGTCCTCAAAGAGGTTGGGGAAGATCCAGACGCCCGGGCGGAGGACGACGAGAGAAATGACCCAGAAAATGAGGCGGACAATGGCGATGGCGAAAAAGAGGCCAATGAGGCCCAGCACGCCGATCGAGAGGTACCAGACGCCCAGGCGCATCGAGGGGGGCCAGAGCGGGAACATGACTCCCGCCAGCATCACGACGACCATGCCGACGCCCGCCAGCTTGAGGCCGAGCTGGGAGCCCTCGAAGAGCCAGGCGTAGTACTGCGGTGCGGGACAGAGGAGCAGCCAGACAAGCGGATAGCGAGTCAGCACACGAGCATTTCCGGCGTGCCGGCCCGCATCGACGCCCTTGTATCTCACCATGTCTGGGCTAAACATCTGCTGCGGGTTGACCTGGACGACCTTGGGGGCATCCTTGCCTCCGGAGCTGGGCCCTCGGTCGACGCGGAGGAAAAAGGCAAAGGGGATGATGCTGTGGAGGAGTGCCTGTGCGTGCTCCTCGTTTTCGATCTTGGGGACGTCCTTGAGCTTCGAGTAGGCGGGGGCGACGATGGCCTTGACGGCGGCGGACCCCTTGAAGTAGTCGACGCGCTTGCCGTTGAGGACGCCGACCTTTGTCTTTAGGCCGGCATTGTTGCGGAGGTAGTTGACAATCTGGCGCACCTGCGGCGGTGCGGCCGACTGCGACTCCTGCGGGCGGGCGGGAGCGAAGCGAGGAGCAGGGAGATGCAGGACGAGAGAGTCAGCCCGTCTGTCACAGAGGGGAGGGGAGGGGAGGATACGATGGAGCGGAGAGGGGGCTCACCATGATGGCTATGTGCGGGGGGGATCAAGGGGCTGGCAGAGGGATGCGGACTGGCGGATGATCTGGGCTGTGGTCGTCGCGGTGGTGGCGGCGGTGGTGGCGGTAGCGATGGTGGCGGTAGCGATGGTGATGTCGATGAGCGAGACGGGTGGAGGGGGCACGAGGAGGAGCAGAGGCAGAGTAGGCACCAGGCGCCGACGAGGCCAGCCAGCGCGACCGCGAGCCTGAGCCTGAGGCTGCCAGCGCACGAACCTCGACTAGCCTGGCCAGCCAGCCAGGCCAGGACAGGGCTGCCAGCGAAGATCTTCTGGCGAGCCCGCTGGCCCCCATCCAACTCGAGCACGTGAGGTGTCGCTCTCGGAACTCGGGAGTGGGGGACGGAAAATGGGCTGGCTCGCCTCGAGGGACTAACGCGCTTTCTGCTGGCTTGCGAGCGAGCGAGAGCGCGTCCGAGGGCCCGCTTGGCCTGGCCTGGCCTGGCCAGCCCAACCAACAAACAAGCCTGCTTGCCAGCCAGCCGGCCAGCCAGCCACGGCAACGAACAAAACGCGCGCAGCCAAACAGCCAACAGCAGCTCAGGCAGCGCCGGTGTTGGTCTGCCGCCTTGCTGCCCGCGTTACTCCACAAGCCTTCCCCTCGACTCGCCCGCCACCGCCCTCACCCCACCACCATCACCATCCTTCTCCCTCTTCCTTCTCTGCCCCGCTCACCATCCTTCTCCCTTTGCGTGCTCTCAATACCCCCCCTCTGTCGACCAACACAGGCCCCATTTCCCTCGACATCCACACAACCAAAACAACCGACCGCCCCTGCTTCGCCCCCACACCGCCGCCGGCCACCATGGCCGACTCGGGCAGCTACAACCTCGCCGACGAGCTCCTCCTCCTCCAGGATGAACCCTACATCATCCCGCACGAGGTCGCCGTCGACGACCTCGCACCCGCACAACAGCTCGCCACCTTGGACGCCGCAGTCGACACCATCACCGCCTCGTCGGGAAACATCACCAACCTCGAGACCTTCGACCTCTTCCGCTCCTACCTAAAGCACTTTGCCACCCTCAGCCCAAACGCATGCCACAAGCTCCTCGATGCCATCCTCAGCGGTATGACAAACGCCCTCGAAGACGCACAGAGGGAGCTCGACGGCGACGACCCAAACGCCTACGCAGGACACGCACAGCCCCTCGAGATGTACGCGTTCCTCCTCCAGTGGTTCGTCGCAGTCGCCGAAAAGCACAGCGGAGGCAGGCAAGAGGCGGGCGCCGCAGCCGCAGCAGCCGCAGCCGCGTCCGCATCGTCGGGCGCAGCAGCCGCCTCGGGCTCAAAGGGCGGCAGGAGAGGCGGCGGCGCAAAGGCCAACGCCTCGAGCAAATCCACCTCGGGCAAGGCCGACGCGTGGGCCTGGTCCAACTCGATCCCCCCGGTCCTCGCCCTCATGTCAAAGGCCCTGCGCGTCCGGTCCGAGCGCATGTGGACCGTCACCGCCGCCAGGGACTCGTACGTCTCCGGATGCATCATGCGCCCCGCCCTCCTCCTCCAGGAAAACGAGGGCCACCTCAAGGTCCAGGCCATCAAGCTCGGCATCTTCAAGGTCATCTGCCAGGCCGTCAAGGCCCACGGACAGGCGTTCAGCGCCCAGACCAGCATCATGCAGAGCCTCCAGTATTACGAGCACCTGGCCGAACCCATGGCCGAGCTGCTGGCCGTGATGCGCGGCGAGTTCGACTACGAGCGCCTCGGCGAAGACGTCCTGCGCGAGGTGGCCGGCAAGAACTTCGGCGCCATGGACACGAAGAGCCCGAGGAGCTTCGGCCGCTTCCTCGTGCGCATGGCCGAGCTCAGCCCGCGCAGCGTGCTCAAGCAGATTGCGCTCCTCCAGAAGCACCTCGACAGCGAGTCGTACCCAATGCGCAACGCCATGATCGAGACCCTGGGCCTGCTCATCCGCGAGCTCACCACCACCGACGACGCCCTCACCACCTCGTCGTCAGGCGGCACGTCTTCGTCGGCCGGAGCCGGCGGCAACGACGGTACCGCCGACGAGCAGCGCGGCAGCGTCGAGGCGCGCAAGAAGCAGATTGAGACCTTCTTCAACCTGCTCATCGAGCGGTTCCTCGACCTCAACTCGTACGTCCGCAGCAAGCTCATCACCGTCTGCGCCAAGCTGTGCGACCTGCCCACCAAATTCCCCAAGCAGCGCACAGAGATGACCGACCTCGTCATCCGCGCTCTCGAGGACAAGAGCAGCGGCGTCCGCAAGAATGCCATCGCCCTCCTCACCAAGCTCATCCTCACCCACCCCTATGGCGTCATGCACGGCGGCGAGCTCAACCTGACAGAGTGGCAGAAGCGCTACGACGCCGTCAGCAAGGAGCTCGAGGCGACCGAGGGCTCGCTGGAGCTGCCTGGCGAGCAGGAGCTCGAGGACGAGGATGGGGAGGAAGAGGAAGAAGAGGAGGATGAGGACGAGGACGACGAGGGCGCAGACGACACCGAGGCGGCCGACGACACCATGGACATCGACGAAGACGACGCCGAACGGACCCCGAAGCCCAAGGCCAAGACGCAGGACAAAAAGAAGGCGGCGGCCAAGGAGGGCAAGAAAGGCCGCCGATCCGGCGTCGACCTCGAGGCGCTCGCCGCGGCGCGTGCGCAGATGGAGCCCGTCGACGGCGAAAAGATCATGAAGCTGCGCCTGACCAAGCGCTACTACGACGACGCTGTCCAGTTTATCGTCCAGCTCGAGGGCGCCATGCCCGTGCTGTCGCAGCTGCTGGTCTCGACCAACAAGGCCGAGGTGCTCGAGAGCATGGAGTTTTTCCGCGTCGCCTACGAGTACCGCCTGGCGGGCGCCGCGGCCGGCATCCGCAAGATGGTGCACCTGATCTGGACCAAGGACAACACGCTCGTCATGGAGGACGGCAGCCAGCTCAAGGGCGTCCGCAGCCGCCTCATCGAGGTCTACCGGGCCCTCTACTTTGAGGCGCGCCCCGAGCTCAGCGCCAAGGACAACGTGGCCCGCATCGCCCGCAACATGATCGAGCGCACCTTTGGCGCCACGCTGGCCGAGCTGACCAGCCTCGAGGAGCTGATGAAGACGATGGAGTCCGAGGGCCTCGTCCACCCGGACGTGGTCGCCAAGCTGTGGGCCGTCTATTCGGCGCCGCGCGCCATCTCCAAGGCGCAGCGCCGCGGTGCCATCATCGTGCTCAGCATGCTCGCCGTCGCTCGTCGCGAGATTGTCTCGGAAAAGATCGACCTGCTCCTTAAGATCGGCCTCGGTCCACTCGGCGCGCGCGACGTGGTGCTGGCCAAGTACTCGTGCATCGCGCTGCAGCGCGTCGGCGGCAGCGTCAAGAAGGTCAAGGGCGCGCTGAGCGACGAGAGCGTGCGGTACCCCATGAACCACCCGATGTTTGCGCGGCTGCGGGCGGCCATCCAGATGCCGAGCGAGGTGCTGCGCGGCGAGAGCAAGGGCGAGTGGTTCAGCCTCGCCGAAAACGCCATCCAGACCATCTACCTGCTGGGCGAGCAGCCCGACTCGCTCTGCACGGAAATCATCCGCAGCATGACGATGCGCGTCTTTGCGCCCAAGCCGGCCGCCCCTCCGGCCTCGGCAGGCGCCGACGAGGCCGGCGAGGCCCGCAGCCGCGCCAGCTCTCCCGGCATGGACGTCGACGCCGCCTCGGACGCCGGCGGCTCTGCACGCGCCGGCTCGCCTTCGCCCAGCCCGGCGGCCAACGTGCAGGGCGACGCGTTTCAGCTCGCGCAGCTGCTCTTCGTCGTCGGCCACGTTGCGCTCAAGCAGATTGTCTATCTGGAGCTGGTGGAGCGCGAGTACAAGCGGCGCAAGGCCGAGGCCGAGCAGGAAAAGGCCATGGCCAAGGCCGTGTCCGAGGGCAAGCGCGGCAAGGCGGCGGCGGCGGCCGTCGAGGAGCTCGACCAGGTCGCCGGCAACGCCGAGGACGAGATCGGCGACGTGATCGCCAGCATCCGCGAAAAGGAGCTCCTCTTTGGCGACCGCAGCGTGCTGGCCGTCTTTGGCCCGCTGGTGACCCACATCTGCAGCAGCCCAAAGTCGTACCCCGTGAGTGCCGATGCATGCCCTGCCGCTGCCAGGGCGGATCGATGCGACCGAGCTGCCGGAGATCGCGCTGACAACTCCCACTGCACCCCGTCTCCCTGCAGAACGACTTTGTGCGCAAGGCGGCGGTGCTGACGCTGTGCAAGTTCATGTGCGTCTCTTCGAGCTTCTGCGAGACGAACCTGGCGCTGCTGCTCCACATCCTGTCGACGTCCAAGGACGCCGTGATCCGGTCCAATGTCGTGATTGCGCTGGGCGACATTGCCATCTGTTTCGGCTCGCTCGTCGACGAGAACAGCGACCGGCTGTACGCGGGCCTCAACGACGTCGACCTGGGCGTCAAGAAGCACACGCTCATGGTGCTCACCCACCTCATCCTCAACGGCATGATCAAGGTCAAGGGCCAGCTGGGCGAAATGGCAAAGTGCCTCGAGGACGACGAGCCGCGCGTCAGCGACCTGGCCAAGCTCTTTTTCAGCGAGCTCTCGACAAAGGAAAATGCCGTGTACAACAACCTGCCCGACATTATCAGCCACCTCTCGATTGGCAAGCACGCCGTCGACGAGGAGACGTTTGCCAGGACCATGAAGTTTATCTTTACCTTTATCGACAAGGAGAAGCAGGCCGAAAACGTCGTCGAGAAGCTGTGCCAGAGGTGCGTCGTCGTCGTCGTCGTCGTCGTCGTCGGCCCGCGAGTCGGCGCGAGCACCAGACGAGCGCGCTCTGCTGACGCGAGACCCCTCCCCTTTCCTTGCCCTGCCTCTCTCTGTTGACCGGCCGCACCAGGTTCCGACTGACGTCCGAGGAACGACAGTGGCGCGACATTGCCTTCTGCCTCTCGCTGCTGCCGTACAAGAGCGAGCGGTCGATCAAGAAGCTCATCGACGGCCTGCCCTTTTGTGAGTGTCGCCTGCGGCATCGCAGCGTTTGGTCCTCTGCCCCCACCCCCTTTCCCCGGTCCACCCGCTGACCTTTCCAACGACCACCTCCCTTGCTCCTGCCCGCGTGCGACTCGCCGCTTCCTCGCTCGCTCGCCGGCCGCAGACCAAGACAAGCTGCACCACGGCGAGGTGTACAAGCGCTTCCTCGAGATCCTGGCAAAGGCGCGCACCAACAAGTCGGCGTCGAACAAGACGAGCGACGCCGACCTGCGCGAGTTTGAAGAGATCCTCACCAACATCGCGCAAAAGGGAGAGCAGGACGAGGCGTTCGAGGGCGCCACCCAGGCCAAAGTGGCACGGGCCGAGAAAAAGGGACGCGGCCGAGGCGCACCCGCGGCGGCGGCGGCGGCGGCGACGACGGCCGCTGCAGGAGGAGCAGGAGGTCGACGCGGTGGCGGTGGTAGACGCGCGGCGAGGGCCAGCGTCATGAGCGAGGCTTGATGCGGATGCTTTGGACCTGTATGTACGATATCGACGGCGGCTCTCGGCTCCTGCATGCACGTTGCCCTCCTCTCGGCCTTGGCAGGCTCGTGCCCTCGGCTCGTGGTCGTGGTCGTGGTCGTGGTCGTGGTCGTGTGCAGGCGGACGCGGTCTTTAAAAGGCGGGACGGCGCCTCCTGTCGACCTCGCTCCGGACCGACTTGGACCGCTTGACCCTGGTGCTGTCCTCGTCCTCGGTTTCGTCTAGGGTCCTCTTCTTTTTCTTCTTGCTCTTGCTCTTGCTCTTGCGCCGCTCCTCGATGTCGCGGGCTTGCGGATCGAGGTCGTGTATCGACGGTGAAGGGGCGCGAGAGGGGCGTGCAGACGCGGGCGTGGATGTAGGAGCGAAAGCGGTTGCGGGAGCGGGACTGTGTGGATGTAGACGCGGTTGAAGCTGCGGTTCGAGGAGGGATGAGCGGATTCAGACGTGAACAAGATAGAGATAGGGATTAGAGGCAGAGAGGCAGAGAGGCAGGGAGGCAGAAAGGGGAAGAACGGCACTTACGAGGTCGAGAAAGGACCGGGCCACCGTTGCGGGCCAGGGTGTTTCGGTGGTCTCGTCGTCGTGTCGGAATGGGAGAACCACTTCTTCCTCCTCGTCGTCGTCGTCCTCGCCATCGCCATCGCCTTCCTCATCTACCTCCTCATCCTCCCGCCCCTCTATCGGATCGGATCCATCCCCCCTCCTACGAGATCTGGACCTGGACGTCGACCGATCGCGAGGTCGAGACCGGGACTGGGACCGGGACCGGGACCGGGACCGGGACGTGGAAGGGATATGGGACCTCTCGCCGCCCCTGACCAGGGTCCTGGAGCGACCGCGCTCCCTCTCCCTCCTGGCCGCATCGCGCAGCAGATCCCGCTCGACCTGTACGACTTTCCTGCTGGTCGCGACGGCATTTTCAAAGTGCCTCGCGGCGACTTGGACGGCGCTCGGATCGAGCTCCGACATCCTGATGCCCCTCGCTTCCCGCCGCTGCGCCTCCTCCTCCTCCATCATCCCTCCTTGGCCGTCGCCGTGTCGTCGCGCCGTCGGGTCCGAGACGACGTCGATGTCGGTGCCGTATCGACGGTCCTTAGTTCTGGCCAGTGCGGATTCCGTCGCAGAGTGCAGCGTGAGCAGGCCGAGGTAGACGTGGAGCGTCGACGACGACTTGTACGGGTGCAGCTGGATGACGAGGTCCAGCTCCTCCATGGCCTCTGCGTACCGCCTCGCCGCGATGAGTTCGGGGATGAGGTCGAGCAGGATGGGAAGGCGGTACCGCGATGTCCGCGCCACCGAGCGCAGGTAGACGATGCGTTGGTGCGTCACCTCGTCATCGTCGTCGTCGTCGTCGTCGTCGTCGTCGTCGTCGTCGTCGCCGTCTTCGGCACCTTTGCGCTTCGAGCTCGCACCCGCATCCGCGGCGGTATCTCGCTCCCCCTCGCCGTCACCTTGGAAGGACCCACGCCGACGACGACGACGGTGGGAGAGCGACGAGACGTGGCAGGACAGGACGGCAAGGCCGAGGCGCCACAGCTCGTGGCTCCTCCACTCATGGGCGTGCATCAGCACCCTGAGCGCCCTCCCCGCGCGCACCGCATCGCGACGGAGGAGGAGGATGTGCACGAGGTCAAAGGCGCGTCGAAGGTGGTGCCGCCGTAGCGAGTTGGTCGGTTCCGTCTCGCGGGGGAGGTGGAGCGGCAGCGAAGAGGGCGGGTGCGAGTTGCTGTGCACCGATCCCCGCGCCTTGACCGGCCGTGGCGGTTGGAATACGTAGCCCGGTTCCATTGTCGGTGCGCGGGTTCGGTTACATGGGTATGGGTTCGGTCGGTGGACGGGGAGAGCTGGGGTGGTGGTGGTGGTGGTGGTGGTGGCAGCAGGACAGGGGGAGGCTGCCGTCCCAGGAGGGTCCCGAGGCCCGCTGCTCGCCTTTAAAAAATTCCAGCGTGGCCCAGGTGGAGGGAGAGGGTCTGCCTCGCCCGAGTCCCGCAGCCCAGCCCAAGCTCGGCCACGCTCGCACGCCACCACCACCACCACCACCACCACCACCACTGCCACCACTAGCTCGACAGCCACCGCTTCTAATAACGAAGAGGTCATCACGATATCGTCATGTCATTTCAAACCAATGGCTCGACGGAAACACGGAAACGCCATCGAGCGGTCCTGGTTCAGATACAACAACGGGAAAACGCGCAGACACGCGTAGTGAAAGCTAGGAAGGCGGCCGGGCGTCTGGTGGGTGCGTCTACCCCCATCGACGGCGACGGGGATCGCGTGGCACGGTGCGGCGTCTGCACCGCTTAGAGCGGCGCCGGCGTCGACAGGTTGCAGTGGACCGCCTTGACGTTGGTGTAGTTGGCCAGCGCGTACTCGCCCAGCTCGCGGCCGATGCCCGACGCCTTGTAGCCGCCGAAGGGCACCTGCGGGTCGAGCTGGTTGTAGCAGTTAACCCACACCGTGCCCGCCTTGAGCTTGTGCGCCGTCTCAATGGCGCGCGAAATGTCGCGCGAAAAGACGGCGGCCGCCAGGCCGTACATGGTGTCGTTGGCGATCCGCAGCAGCTCCTTCTCGTCCTTGAACTTGCTCACGACGACAACGGGCCCAAAGATCTCCTCGCGCGCAATCTTCGAGTTGTGGTCGGCGTCGGTGAAGATGGTGGGCTCGATAAAGTAGCCCTCGCTGCCCTTGCGCACGCCGCCCAGGTGCAGGTTGGCCTCCTTCTTGCCCGACTCAATGTACTCCATGATGCGGTCGTACTGGAGCTGCGAGACCTGCGGGCCCTGGAACGTGTTCTGGGCAAAGGGGTCGCCGACCGACAGGCTCTTGCAGAGCGCCGTCATCTTGTCCATAAACTGGTCGTAGACGTCCTCCTCGACGTAGACGCGCGAGCCGGCGCAGCACGTCTGGCCGTGGTTGAACATGATGCCGAACGCGGCCCACTTGACGGCCTGGTCCAGGTCGGCGTCCTTGAAGATGACGTTGGGCGACTTGCCGCCGAGCTCGAGCGTGACCTTCTTGAGGTTGGTCGAGGCGGCCGCCTTCATAATGTTGCGGCCGACGAGCGTGGAGCCGGTGAAGGCGACCTTGTCAATGTCCATGTGGTTCGAGATGGCGGCGCCCGCGACGGCGCCGAAGCCCGAGACGACGTTGACGACGCCCGGGGGGAAGCCGGCCTCGACGATCAGCTCGCACATCTTGATGGCCGAGAGCGGCGTCTGCTCGGCCGTCTTGAGGACGACGGTGTTGCCCGTGGCGAGCGCCGGGCCAATCTTCCAGGCAAACATGAGCAGGGGGAAGTTCCAGGGGATGATCTGGCCGCAGACGCCGATGGGCTCGTGGCGGGTGTAGGTGAACTTCTTGTCGTTGGTCTCGATCGTCTTGCCCTGGTTCTTGTCGGCCCAGCCGCCGTAGTAGCGGATGTTGGCGGCGACGGCGGCGACGTCGAAGCCCTTGGCAATCGAGAAGGCCTTGCCGTTGTCGAGCGACTCGATCGAGGCGAGGACGTCGAGGTTGGCCTCGACCAGGTCGGCGAGCTTGAGCAGCAGGCGTCCTCGCTCGGCGCCGGGCACCTTTTCGCCCCAGACGTTTTCAAAGGCGTCGCGGGCGGCCTTTACGGCGACGTCGATGTCCTTGGCCGAGGCCTCGGCGACCTGGCCGATCTCCTTGCCCGTCGAGGGGTTGACGGTGGCGAACGTCTTGCCATCGAGGGCGGGGACAAACTTGTTGTTGATGAAGAGGTCAGACTGGACGGTCGTCTTGACGCCGTTGGGGAAGCTGAGCTCGAGCTTGGGCATGGTGGCGGCTGTCAGAGGGGCGGGCGGGAGAGAAAACAGAGGGCAAGGCCAAGAGCGGACGGCAGCGATGGGGCAGCGAGCGGGCGAAAGGACAGATCGTCAGCGTCCGAGTCGGCGCAGCGAGCCAGGAGCGTGATAGGAGCGCCGTCTGCAGGGCGGGCAGGCCGCGCCACGGGGCCACGTTTCCCCGTTGTCGTCGCCAGGAGCCGGGCAACGACAGCGAGGCCGCCGAAACGACGGGCGGAAGCTGCTGCAACGGGGTCGACTCACGTTGTGCTGTGGGGTGGCGGTGGGTGATGAAGGGTGAGAGGATGCGTGGGCGATGGCAGTGCGGACTGGTGCGGAAGAGGAAGTGCTCGTGGGAAGAGTCCGGATGGTGTGAGGAGGCAGGCGCGAAGGATTGAAGGGACGACCAGCGGAGGTTCTTATAGCGAGCGCCAGGAGGATGGGCGAGGGGGAGAGGCCGAGGCTGAGGCGGGCGATGAGAAGAGGAGCGGGGCGGAGGGCTGCCGACCGACAGAGGAGGTGCTGCTGCGCTGCCAGGCCAGGCGGCGAACGCAGCGGCGGCGGCGAGCCACACAACGGGCAGCTGACCCGCCTGCCTTTGTGGTGCCAGGCCAGGCCGGCCTCGCTTGGGCAGGAAAGCACGGAACAGAGGCCGGCCGACGGCGGCGACGAAGGCAACGGCGAAGGCGAAGGCAGAGGCGGCGAAAGCGAAAGCGTGGCCCGACCGCGCTCGCCTTCTGTTGCTGCTGCGCTGCTGCTGCTGCTGCTGCTGCTGCTGCTGCTGGTGGGCCTGCCTGCACGACGACCGTCACAGTCGACGGCAGCCCGCCGCGCGTGCTGGCCCTTTCTGGCGGCGCTCTCTCGCTTGGCCGCCGCCCCTCTCCATTTTTCGCGGTGACAGAAGTGCGGGGAAGCCAGAATGCCACTCTGCCGGGCACGGGCCAGCCTGGCTCGCCCACGCTGTTGCGCGCTGCTGCCCCAATCCGTTCCCCGCGCCTACATACATGGCTGGCTGTTTGCCACACGGCCGTCTACCGCCGTGTCCGCCCATCAAGCGTGCGATGCACCAAGTGTACGGGTGAAAGCTGGTCGTCCTCTGCCTGCAACATCCGTCCCGCACCTGAGCCGACCGATGGCAACCTGGGACTTGAGCCCATCGACTGGCCAGGACGGCTGTTCTGGACGAGCGGGGTTAAGGTCGGATTGCAGCGAGGCGGCCCGAGCGGTCTGGCTGGCTAGGCTGGCGATGCGACGATGGGGTGCTTGCTGGCCTTTGCTTCCTTGGGCAACGACGGTGTGCGAGGTGTCATCGAGCCGCTGCTGCTGCTGCCACAGCAGCGTCGAGCGGCAAAACCGAAGCAGCGAGCGAGGCCTGGCCTGCCACCCAAACGAGCCAGGCAGGCCAGCCAGCGAGCGGCTGTGAGCCGAAAAACGGAGCCAGGCGGGGGAGGCCTCCACTCGATCTGCCAGGCTGCGTGCGCGGCTGGCTGGCTGGCTGGCTTGGCGCGGGCTTAAGCTCGACTTGGCCTTGCCTGGCCTGGCCTGGCCGCTGTGGCCGCTGTGGCCCCCCGCGTGACCCTCTCCGGGAAGGTGGATGTTGGGCTGCCAGGCCTTTGCGGCCGCGCGCCGCCTTTGCACCGGCCGTCACCCTGCCTGCCTGCTCGCCGCTGCTGGTGGGCGGGCTTACCTCCGCACCTTGGCTGGCCCCCTCGCCTGGGCCTCTTCCGTCCAGTTGGCTCGGGCTGGTCTCGATCAACCGCCGCCGCCGCCGCCGCCGCCGCCTTTGCTTCCCGACCCCCACCGGGCAATCGGTTGCGCAGCGACAAACACCAGGCGGCACGGGCCTACCTGGCCTGCATGGCTCTCTTCACTTTGGCCTCGTAAATACACCGACCGGGTTTTGCGTTCTCGGCGTGCAGTAGACAAGCAAGCAGAGCCTGTGACACATCGCTCGCCCTGCGCCAGCCAAGCCAGCAAGGTCATGGCTCGCCTTAGCTTCCTGCTGCGCGCAAGCAAGCTTCCCGACCTCCGTCTCTTCGGCAGCCTACATGCTGCCTGCCGGCACGCACCATGGACTTAAAGCCCAGCCAGCGACTACTGCCATGGCCTGCCCCGCACCACCTCTCGCAAATGCGGGGTACGGTACAGCCCGGCCGGCGTTTGCGAATGCGGGGAAAAGACATCGATCGCGCGCTGTTGATCATCTGTCCATACCGGTACAAGGTGCCAGACCAGCTGGGCCTCAAGCTTCATAGAGATACTGTAGACCCGGATGTGACCACCTCGCTTTCGCGCGGCTCTGGGCTTGGTACAGTAGGTACCGCACCCACTGTGCAGCCCAGCTCGGCCCGCCCCGTCACACCACCATGCCTCGTCACTGTCGACGCCCGGCGGTGCGCTGCCGCCGAGACAAGCGGTGTGGGTCGCCGCGCTGCCGCAGCGACCGTCGTGACCATGCCGCCTCGAGGCCCCGCCTGGCCTGGCCTGGCCTTCACTCGTCCTTTTCGCCACAGAGGGAAATGTCGTACAGCCTATCGGCCGCCTTGATCGAGTAGACGCTGCGCGAGCATCGCCCGGATGGCCGGCCTGGCGTGTCAGTTCAACGCTCCTTGCGCGCAAAGGCGAGGCGGGCAGAGGTCGACGGCGACGACGCCACTCACACGCTCCCGACGCCCAGACCGGCCGCAAACAGCCCCTCGGTTGCCGCAGCTGCCTTGCCGTAGTCCTCCCTGCGCGTCGTGCCCGCCGAGATACCCAGAGGGGGCGGAGCAGGGAGCATCAGCAGCCACTCGACCCGATCGAGGCCATCACGGCGTATCTGGACTTGGACTCACATCGCCTGCCGTATACCGACACGTCCAAACGGAGCGCGACGGACAGGGCAACAACTCGCGTGGCCGCGTATCAGCAAGCCAAACTCTCTCTCCCTCTCCACGACCCTCGGCGCGCTACACGAGCGGAGCGAGGCACTCACCGCCAAGGCCTTTTCGTTGAGCCCTCGCCTCTTAACCCCTCCCGCCTGGTCAGCAGCAGCAGGAGCATTCTTCTTTTGATCCCTGCACTTTTTCCTCGCATCGTGCTCTACCCACCGCGCCGCACCGCATCGCAAGACGGTGAGCAAGCATTCCACGTCACGTCGAGAAAGAGGTACGAGGCACGAGGGCAGGCTCACCTTTGATGCGGCTTTCCTTGTACTTTTGTACGATGCTCTCGGCCTGGTAGGTGAGCGCGAGGGCGCCCGCACCGGAAGCCGTGAGCGAGGCGTAGGCCCCTATCGCCGCTTTGCGCGGGACGCCCAGACCCATCCAGCCCGAATCCGTCTTGTCCGCCGTCGTCGCCGCGGTCGTCGTCGCCGCCGCGTCGTCCCCTCGGTCCGCTGCTGTCGTCTTCGTTCCGTCCTCTGCAGTTGTGGTGGCGGTGGTGTCGACTTGTCCGTTTGGTTGCTGCCGTTGCGATGACGCCGCCGCTGTTGTCGGTGGCGATCCATCCGATTGCGCATACGCAGCACGTTGAGACGGAATGACTTCACTCGTTCCGCCCGAGGCCGCAGGTGACTGAACCTGCTTCTGCGGCGATTCCGGCATCGCAAACGACAGCGCGCGGAAGCGATCGGATCGCTGGCCCTCTTCGGAGCGGGGAGACGCGAGGAGGGGCTGTCGAAGTGTCCTCTGCCTCTCGCCGACATCGTCGGAGCGCGGTGTGGATGCGGCCGAGTGGTAGACCGACATCTCCACCGACGACGCGCGGTCTGACTGCGCCGGAGAGGCCGGCGATGCGAAGCGCGGAGACGAGAGCGGCGAAGCGCCCGCCGACCGCAGCGGGCGCACGTGTCGAATCGGCGGTGGAAGTCGGAACGAGTCTGACCCCACGGCGCCTGCCGCAGTCGTCGTTGTGGTTGTTGTCGTCGCTGCAACGGGGCGGAGAGGTTCAGCACCCTTGGCGCCGCTGCGGGACAGTGCATCCTGGATCAGCGGTGGGTCCAGTGGCGTGTCGTGGACCAATTCGCTGCTCGCTGCGCGTGCCAATGAAGCGCTTAGCATATACGCGAGCGCGGACGAGGTGTCGAGCAGCGTCGAAGAGAGGAGGAATGCGACGACCAGGGCGTAGACGAGGGCCGGGGACGACGACGAGGTGGTCGCTCGCATCCTGGTCGATGGGCGGTTGGTTTTTCCCCTGTGAGACGAGGGACGAAAGGGGTGTGCTGCAACGTCGACGGCGTGGCGTATCGGATCGGATCGGATGGAGTCGACGAGATGACCGTGGAGATGAACGAGGGGCGGAGCGACGAGCAGGAACGAGCCAGGTCGAAGCCACCATCTCGCTCGCTTTATACCACCGACCTTCCTCGCCACCCATGCACTGGGCACCGACTGCCGGAGGTGGTCATGATCATCCTCATCCTCTACCACACCCGAACGGCGGCGCAGCATACGCCCGACGTATGTACGTATCCGGGCCACCTTGCTCGAACCTTGTTCTCGTCGCTGACCGATAGTCGGGTGGGCTTGCAGAGACCGTCGCCGGGCGGGCGGGCGGGCAAATGCGGACTGGACGACGGCAAACGTGCCCGGTGCGCGGACGGAGCACGTTGACGAATGAGGTGGTGGCGCCATGTCATCCGTCCGTCCGCTCTTGCGCCCGTTGGAGCGTAGGAGGGCACAAAACGGGGCGGGAGTGGGGAGCGAAGCGTCGATAAAGAGTGGCGCAACACGCACGTGCTCTCGCCGACCAACGACGATGTGGTGTAGATGCGGTGCTTGCTCGGTCACTGCGCCCGTTTGCAGCCATTACGGTGCGTTGCGTTGAGGTGCGGGGCGGTAGCGTAACGTAGCGTAGCGTAAAGGGCGTCCGGGGCGTCGGCCTGAGGACAAACCCCCAAAGCAAGCAGCCAGCAAGCAAGGTTGGCCTGGCCTGGGCCGGCCTTTTTTGATGCCCGGCGAAATGAAGCTCGTCTCACCGGAGCCTTTTTGCCTTCGATTCCGTGCCACACCGAGTCCGAGACGTGCTGACGAAGAGAGTGGTGAGTGAGAGTGGCGAGTGGATGGGCAGAGGCAAAAGGACACTTCTGTAGCCAGGCATCGCCCTTCGGCATGCGGCTGGCTGACGGGGCGATACCGCTGATTCGATGCGGTTCCAAGGTCGATCGAGTGGTAGGAGATAGTGGCAAGCTCGAGCGGATCAAGCCGGGTGGCGGGAGGGAGAGGAAAGAGAGGGAGAAAGAGACAGGTAACGGGCGTCACGAATCCGTCCCGTCGGTCCGCCGGGCTTGCGCCACCCAGCCGCGCTTATGCCGCGCGCATCCAGCCGTGTTGGCGCAAGCGAGCATGCATGCTCGGCCAGCCAAAGCCAGAGTGACGAGAAAGACGCCGCTGGGCCGAAGAGCGCCCCATGCCGTCCCCTTTGCGCCCTGCAATCTCTTTCGACTCCGCACGGATCGACGACTTCATCAAAACGCTCGTTGCATTCCTGAGATAAGACGGGGTAACAGAGAGATAGAGAGGGGAAGAGACCAGGCTGGTACAGGGGTGGGTTCGGTCGAGGCCAAGCGTGACGCCCCCGGGCACAGGGCCGACGGGCTGCTAGGCTCAAGATCGAGGAGGCGGTGGCGGCGGCGGATGAGGTGACTCTCCGCCGCCAACGGGAGCCATCGAGGCGAGCGCGAGCTCAAGATTAGGGTAGACAAGGGGCAAGAAGGATAAGCGAGGCCGACGGCCGAGGGCCGGGGGGCGAGGCGAAAGGAAGTTGGGTATATGGGACGCCATCGGAGCAGGGCCGCCGAGCGAGGCCGCCCGTCCGATGAAGCCCAAATTCAACGTGGCATCGAGCAGCCAGCAGCGCGAAACAGCGCGGCGGCCGGGGAATAGAGATGGGCGCTGAGACAACCGCGGGGCGTAGAAGAAGAGCAACGGGCAGAGAGCAGAGCAGATCAGGTCGGGTCGGGTCGACAGCGACGGCGGTGCCGCCGGCGACCACGACTCTTGTCCCGCCGCCTAGACTCGGGGCTCGCCCGGAGGCTCGTAGGCGTCGGTCTCGACGTGGCCCTTGTCGTTGACCGACGTGTTGTCCGTCGTCGCCTCGACGCCCGCTTGGCGAGCGGCGGCGACGCCTGCGCGGCCGATGCCAAACTTGTCGTTGGGGATCCAGACGGGCCGCTGCGGGTCGCGGGCGGCCGGGTGGACAAAGGCGTCGTCCATGTCGGCGGCGCCCTCGCTGCCGGGCTGGCGCTTCTCGAGGTTCTTCATGTCGACGGCGTGGGCGTCGATGCCGTGGTGGGCGTCGCCGAGGTGGCTGCCGCCGCCGTTGGTGCTGTAGGCGGGCGCCACGTTGTCGCTCGACTGCATCATCAGCGGCTTCTTCTCGGTGCTCGTCTCGCCCGAGACGCGCAGGTCGGCGCCCGTGTGTGCGCCGCCGGCGCCGGTCGACGCCACCGCGGCGGCGTCCCTGGGCGGGACGAGCGAGAGGGGCAGCGCCGTGTAGAGGGGCTTGAGCGAGTTGTTGAGGATGTAGTGGTAGGCGGCGACGAGGACGATGAGGACGACCATGAGCGCGCCCTCGGGGATGGCGGCCTGGGTCTTGGAGCCCTCGGGCCCGTACTGGGTGAGGAAGAAGAGGGCGCAGAGCATCACCATCTCGACGTACAGGCCGACAAAGATGTGGGTGACGGCCTTGGGGAAGTAGAGGCCCGACGTCTCGCTCTCGGGGCGGGTGTCGTAGACGTAGAGGAAGAGGTAGCGGTAGCCGAGGTAGAAGATGAGGAACGTGACGGCGGTGAAGCCGTTGATGATGGGCGCGATGACGAGATAGCCCGTTCCGATGACGGTGATGAGCGAGATGGCGGGGAAGAGAGTGCCCCAGGCGACGCCGCGCAGGTCGTGGTCAATGTGCCACACCTTGCGGGGCGTCGAGCCGAGCAGGAACTTCTTGACGTAGTAGACAATCAGCGGCGTCGTCTGGGCAAAGAGGGCGGCGCCGCCCGACAGGCCCTGGAGCGCGATGAACGACAGGAAGAAGGTCGAGCCCTTGGGGATGGCCTGGGCCAGCAGGCCGGGGAAGCTGGCCGGGTTGCTGCCGACCTCGGAGACAAAGTTGAAGATCTGCGAGGCGCTGCCCGAGATGAGGGTGAGGACGAGGAAGTTCTGCACCACCTGGAAGGCAAAGAAGCGCGTCTGGAGCGAGAGCTCGATGCCGGAGCGGGTGGGGACGCCGCTAAGGCGGGCCAGCAGGCGGAGGATGATGGGCAGCAGCATGTTGAGCACGGCGAGGAGCACCGTCGGCAGCACACCCTGGATGATGCCGGTGACGACGGGAGGAAGGTCGCCGAGCCAGCCGAGGAAGGGCACGTCCTGGCTGAGGCCCTTGACGTTGGAGACGATGCCGACGAAGCCGACGGGGATGGTCCAGAAGACGATGAGGGCGACGGTGATGGCCCAGCCGATGGCGGTGCGGACCTTGCGCTCGTAGGGGTTCATGTTGAGGTTGGCCCAGACGACGTCGTCCGGGTGGGCCTCGACGTAGCGCTCGCCCATGCGGTAGGGCAGGTGGTGGGCGTGCGTCTTCTGGGCCATGTGGGCGGCGATCTGGGTGCGGAAGAGGATAAAGGCGCTGTTCTGCGGCGGGTAGGTCTTGTAGTCGTGGGCGACGTCGGAGCGCTTCTGGTCAATCTGCTTGTTGAGCTCGGCGATGCGCTCGCGGCACCAGGTGAGCGTGTCAACCTTTTCGCCAAAGCAGCCGAGCGCGCCGAGCTTGTGCGTGGGGCGCTGCTTCTTCTCAATGTAGCGCTCGGCGATGTCCGGGTTCATCTCGCTGTCGGCGTCGGCCGAGGCGTCCTGGGCCTTGCCCTTCTTGACGCGCTTGTAGGCGAGCTTGATGACTTTGGTCTCGGCGGCCTCGAGCTTGTTGAGCCACTTTGCGCGCTCGTCGACGAGGTCCGGCAGCTCCTTGAGGTCGCGGTTGATCCAGACGCGGGCGACGCCGCCGGGCATCTGCGAGTACATGGCGGTGAGCTTCTTTTCGCTGAGCAGCTCGTTGGGGACGCCCGTGATGAGGACCGTCTTGGCCTGGGCCGTGTCGGCGTGGCGGGGCGAGACGAGGAACTCCTGGCGCAGCTTGATGAAGCGGCGCATGCGGGTGTGGACGTTGTAGAGGAGCCAGGCGGTGAAGAGGTACTGGAGAATGAGGGGGGCGGCGAAGCGCTTCGACTCCTGCTCGTTCTGGCCGACGTTGGCGTAGGTGAAGCGGTTGAAGCCGGTGAGACCGCCGGTCGTCTTTGCGCCGTAGACGGGCATCAGGACGGCCCACGAGATGAACCAGACGGGGACAAAGATCCAGAGCATCATCTCGAGGTACTCGACAAACATGTACGAGTCGAGGCCGTTTTTCTTGTAGATCTCCGTCGTGGGGGTGCGGAGGAAGACGGGGATCCAGCCAAAGAGGGACTTTGGCGGTGCGTCGACGCGCTCCTCGGGCACGGTGAGGTAGGTGCGGGGCCAGTAGATGTTGCGGAAGCGCGGGCGGGCAAGGAGGAAGACGGCGATGAGGACGCCAAAGATGGCGGCGTTGAGGACGAGCGACGAGATGACGGTGGCGGTCGAGTTGTTGTCGACCTTTGTGGCCTCTTGGGCGTAGGCCAGCGAGGGCGCCAGGAGCGCCGCGGCCAGGGCGGCCAGCGGCGCCGGCGGCATCGACCGGGCGGTCGTGGAGCGCGGCATGGCTGCAGGTGGTGGCAGGGCAGGGAGCGCGGAGCAGGCCGGGTGTCGTTTGGTCAGTACCAGACTGGATGCGACGACGACGACGACGACGACGACGACGACGACGACGACGACGACGACGACGACGACGACGACGACGACGACGACGCCACCGTGGTACTCACTCTGTGACGCCAGGGGTGTGCGAGAGAGCCAGAGCGCTCGGCGGAGGACGCGGTGGTGTTGCGGTATTGAGGCTAGGTCGGCGGCGGCGTTGGCTCGACGTCGAAGAGGAGCGGCTGCGGCTGCGGCTGAGCGAGGACTAAGCTCGAAGGCAGGGCAGTCGAGTTTGGTGGTGGTGGTGGTGGTGGTCGAGAGGGTGGCCAGGTTCACGTCAGAGGCGAGCGATGCCGATGTATGTACGTCGCGAGCCAGGGTCGAGGGTCGAGGGAGAAGGGGGGGCGAAGGGGGGAATGGGGCGGCAGCTGGCCAGCCAGGCGGACGGGGAGCGAGGAAGCGAGACCGAGGCGGCGAGCCAGGAAGACGACGGCAGCCATCGAAAAGAAAAACGAGCAACGAGCAGGCAGCCGGGCAAGCATCATCGGGGCCAATCCGGCGCGCAGGCAAGCAGGCAGGCAGGCTGCCAAACACTCTAGCTCGCCTCTGTCGCCGTGCGTGGGTGTGTATGTACGTGCGCGCGCGCCTAGGCTGGGGCCAGACCGCGACGGTCGGGCGGGGGGGCGGGCGGGCGGGCGGGCAAGCGGCCGGTGTTTGTGTCGCTGCGCATCCGACCGCATGCCCGCCGCACAGCAAGCCAGCTAGACCGCGGGCAGGCAGGCACGCTAGCTGCGTCGCCCGCGTCGTTGGCCAGCCTGCCTGAAGAGAGGCGCCAGGCCAGGACGCGGAGGGGCCGATGACGAAAGCGCTTGAAAGCCCCAGCCTGCTGGTCAGCTGCAGCCATCCAGGCGGGCTCGCCCGACTTTCCGTGCAGCTGGGGGGGGGGGTCGTGCCGCACCCGCAGCCGACGCGCTGCGCTATCGATGTCGCTTGCAGGCAGGGCGGGCAAGCCCAGTCAAGCCAGCTGGAAGGCTAGGTCAAGCCTCCAGGGCGAGCCTGTCCGCCAGCCAACCGGCACCCTCCGAGACCCGATCGTCGTGTTTGTGACCTTGGCCTAGCCTAGCCTAGCCTAGCCTCCTCAAACCTATCTCTAACGTTATCTATCTGTTGGCTGCTTGCTGGGCTAGGCTTCGTCTTGGCTGCGCTCATCTGTGGTCTGGGTCGTGCGTTGGATTGAGCGCAACCCGACGTGTCGGTCCGCGAATTCGCAGCTTGTGCGTGTTTCAGGACCCTGAGCTGGCCTGCCTGCCCGTTGCTTGGAGCCAAGATCGGGGGGGCCGTCCAGGAGGCTGGCGCGCCTCGATCTCGCCGTCGCGACCTGTCTCCATCATCTCATCTTGGCCGCTGCTTCTGCCTCCCAGCGTAAGCCTAGGCTGCCCTGCGGGCTGACGGGGCAGACCCTGCCTTTGCCGCCGCTTGGCACTCGTCATATCGCGCCGCATCTTGCTCTCATGCTCGCACTCATCCCGGCCCATGCCAGGCACGCTCTTCCCTCCCTTGATGTCAGCGCGCGTACGTTGCTTTGCCT